CCTAAGTTTTAGATCTAGGGGCATGTGCGCGCTTCCCCATTCTAGGTGTTCGGAGGCCTATCTCCCACCTTACATCCTAGTGCCCAGCATAAGGAACATGGCAGAGCAAAAGATATCATGGCTGGGATAAGCCCCAGAGCAAATCATGAACCAGAGGAAGACAGGCATTTGGCCGCCTAAGTCGTGTGAGGGGCCCAATCTGGGAGGTAGTCACTGAGCATTCCATTCAAAATATGGCCAGAGGAAAATGTGGTATTATTGCCTATTTTATAACTTTTACCCACGTGATTAGCACACTCACCTGGGATGTTAGAGATCCAGGTTCAATTCCTCCAGAGCTGTCTGCAGAGGAGGAGAAAAGATTTGAAAAGAAAGTATCCCTTCTCTTCCTGTAGCAGAAAGAGGGTAATTGAACCTCACTCTCTCACATCCTAGATGAATGTGCAAACCATTCAGCTACAAGTTATGAGGTGCACAAGGCCTCCTTCTATGGCTTTTTCATGTGGAGTAAAGTGGTGCTTAACTCATGCCCTCAAGAAGTGGTTTAGGCATCTAAGCCATCCCGTTCCAGGCAATGGATACCAATTTGTGATTGCACACCAACTTCAGCACCTATCTCTCTGAGCGGGGTGGGGCTTAGCATACACCCCTCTCGTCGGCATCTCCCGTTGGCTTCCTTAGGCAGCTGCTTGCTTAACACACTGGCTTTTGTGGATCACATTCTTAGATGCCTTCCCCTCTCCCTTCATGGTATAGGGTACCTATGTGCCTAATTCAGTTTCATGGATTGCTGTGTTGTTCCTGGGATTTTCTAGGCGCCTAAAAGTTAGACGCTGTGATGCTCAGGGCTGCAATGCCTAAGATCCTTCATGGAGCCCACCCTACAAGACTTATCCCTAATGGACAGTCACATTTGTCTAAAGTCAGTTACCATCCCCCATCTATAAAAGTCTGAGCAGAAAGAGCATGAGTCCTGCCAGTTAGAACTGACATACTTTAGTAGAGCCCTATGGGGAAGACTGTAGAGTGTCTCCTGCGTTATTTCTGGATTAGCACTGCATCTTTAGGATCTGAACACCCTTTGATTAGGCACAATACAGCAGTGAAGCAGAGAGAAACCAAGGCCTAGATCCTCTAGAACAAAGGAGCCATACTTGCTGAAAGTCTCCAGGAATGGGAGTGAGAGTTGGGAATAAGGTTGCATTATACCCTCTTTGTGGCTCTACAATCCTGGAGCTGGAAATGCTAATCCAATTCCTTGTGGAAGACAGAGCAGCCTGAAGATTACTCTATTTTATGCCAACTGCCAATGGGAGCTTTTCTGCCAGTAACGAAACAGACAGATATAGGGAGTTCCCAGCCATGATATCTTTTGCTCTCTATTCCTTATGCAGGGCACTAGGACGTAAAGTAGTATGATTAGGAGACGATACTCCACTGGTCAATTGAGATGGGTTTAAGTCTGTTTCACTGTGCTTAAATAGATTTAACAAGATGGATAATCTCATCCTAAGGGTCTATCCAGGAGGGCTGTAAGGTAAAGAGTCCATCAGGACTGACAGGAAAAGTCATGTGAACAGAGCTGAGGGAGGACAATCAAGGAATCTTGAGGAAAAAGGAGTTGAGGAAAAAAGGAGTATTGCAGTTTTGGTGCATCTGAGTTCCATTTAGTTTTAATCTAATGGCTCTAAGGAGTGCTTATTCTTGCTTTCATGAGCACTAAATTCACTCACAACATACATAGATAACAAACATACTCCGATTTTTTTTTAAATAACCTTTTCTTTCTACCAGCTTCTTTGGTGGTAGGCGTGGTGATACTGAAAAACTGTGAGATTTGTCACATACTTATAATACTCTATTACAATCCTAATTCACATAACACGACACTGGTATTAAATTACACCTTTAACCACAAAAGTTATCTGTACGCTTTTCTGTAGATGAACAGAAAACTCCACTAACTGATTTCTCTGTTTGATGACACCATTCAGGCAAGTGAAAGAATTAAGTTGCTGAAGCCCCAAAAATTTAACAGTGCTATTCAAAGGGTATTTCCCAAAGCAAATTTCAAGAGATGCAATAGAAAAAGAAAGGATGCCTAAGGATCTCTCCTTTGTCAGGGCTGCTATCAATTTCTGCGCACGAATGAGAATATAATAGTTACATTTTCTGTCATTTTTAAAATAGAAGGAGATTACCAGGATAGATGCAGCTTCCATATTTTCAAAGAATTGTATCCAATAAACAGTCTACTGTACAGACAAAACATATATAATGAAGTATGGTGAAAGGCATTGATTAAGGAATAAGAAAAGGAGTACTTGTGGCACCATAGAGACTAACCAATTTATTTGAGCATAAGCTTTCGTGAGCTACAGCTCACTTCATCGGATGCATACATCCGATGAAGTGAGCTGTAGCTCACGAAAGCTTATGCTCAAATAAATTGGTTAGTCTCTAAGGTGCCACAAGTACTCCTTTTCTTTTTGCGAATACAGACTAACACGGCTGTTACTCTGAAACCTGTGATTAAGGAATATCATTCAAATTAGTTTTTGCTTGACTTGTCAACATTCTTATTCTTTGCATTAGGAATTTTTACTTGCTAAACACTAGAATGACGAAAAGAAAAAACTTCTTAAAACGGCTGCCTTTTGATGTGTTTAATTCTATATTACAAAACCGTGTACAATTTATGAACCATACTGGATAACTGTTGCTCCACTTCTCCTGGAATAGATTCCAGCACTCTTAAAATAGTGCACTATGTATTAACAGGGAATTAAATCTCATCCCAGAGTTTTTCACATTTAGAATTTAATGAAATGCTGTACCTGCAGCATACTCAGCAAAACAATACTAATGGTTACATGTTACCTGACCAAATTGTACATGAAATAGTCAGAAATCTTTGGAAGAATAGTGCTTGCACTTCAATGTTTCATTATTAAAACTGTTTACACACAATTTTTCAATCTTTGTAAAACTATTTGATTATATAAAAGGTAAAAATAGTGTTATTCCCACAGAAGCATGTACTGTAATTATCATATTAAAATACAACTCCAAAACAAAACAAAGATCCTTACCAGTGCTGAATATTTCGCTCTCATCTATGGAGCACTACCATATAGTGGCATTAATTCGTTTCTTCACTGCATCTTGAGTATGTTTACTAATTCTTCTTTTGTTGATAATATTTTACTTCCTTGTTACAGAAGACAACGATATACAATGCTCTACAGAAGTTTCTTTCCTTTCAGTGCTGCAATAAGTTGTTTGCTTTAATCACCATGAACACAATGATTACGGTCATGTCTACACTACAGTGCTGTAGCTAGGCTGGCAAAACCCTGTAGTGTTGACACAGCCTACACCAATGGAGGGCCTTTTCCATCAGTGTAGGAAGCAATAGTAGCTAGGTTGACAGGAGCAGTCTTTCATCAACCTAGCTGTGTCTACACTTGAGGTGAGGTTGGCATTTTTCACAACCCTGAGCAACATAGTTACGTTGACCTAAATTTTAAGTGTAGCTCAGGCCTAATTCATGTACTGGAAGATAAATATCACTGAATCAGTTCTGCCCCTGAAGAATTTTTAAATGATCTGATTTTCTCTTAAATGACAATTTTTAAGGTGGCTGAGATAATATCTGTTACTAGACCAACTTCTGTTGGTGAGAGAGACAAGATTTCGAGCTTACCCAGAGCTCTTCAAGTAAACTTTTGTCTCTCTCACCGACAGAAGCTGTCCAATAGAAGATATTACCTCACACATCTTGTCTCTCCCATATTCTGAGACCAACATGGCTACAACAACACTGCATGAAAGAACTTTTAAAATTGGTTTAGATGGGGTTGCCAGGCATCCGGTATTCGACCGGAATGCTCGGTTGAAAATGGACCCTGGTGGCTCCTGTCGGCACCACCACCTGGGCCATTTAAAGTCTGGTTGGCCATGCAACGGAGGCCCTGGGCTAAGGCAGGCTGCCTAACCGCCCTGGCTCTGCATGGCTCCCAGAAGCAGCTGCCAGGTCCCTGTGGCCCAAAGGCACAAGGAGGCTCCGTGCAGTACCACCGCCCTGAGTTGTGGCTCTGCAGCTCCCATTGGCCAGGAATCATGACCTATGGGAACTGTGGGGGCGATGCCTGCAGGCGCAAGGGCAGCACACGGAGCCTCCCTGGCCGCCATGCAATATTACAAGTATGTGATAAATCTCACTGTTTTTCAGTATCACTACTCCTACCACCAAAGAAGCTGGTAGAAAGTAAAGGTTATTTAAAAAAAAAATAGGAGTATGTTTGTTATCTATATATGTTGTGAGAGAATTTAGAAAGTGGACAACCCTAGATTTGGATAAAATTGTTACATATTATTACAGACTGCTGGGGGAGACAGGATGGATTTCAAAAGGACAAGTTTTGTAAATACTTTTAGTATTGACATACCATCCAATTGTATTGCAAGTTTAATAATATTTGTATTTTTCCCTCAAAATACCAGCTCCTGAATTCAGGTGATTACTTGAGAATCTCAACTTTCTTTTTAAAGTATGTTTCTAGCTATCAGTGCAGAGAAAAGCTTAGAAACACGATGCTAAAGAGCTCACAAACCAGAAGACAAAAACTAAGAAACCCAACATTAATTATTCATAAAAATCTCGTGATTGCGAAACTAATCTCATGATTTGTTGGGGGGGGGGTGAAGGGGGCTGACTACTCATGATTTGTGAATGCCTGGGGTTGGCAAATCTATTTCCCATGCCACAGGCCAATCAGTGTAAGAAAATAATGGGGGGTTGAAATAATATTCAAGCTGGAGGCGGGTGGGAGCTGCTAACGGGAGCCCAGCAGGGCTGGTGATAGAGGGTTTCCCCTGAGCCTGCAACCACGTTTCTCTCTTCCTTCATCTCCTCTCCCCCGGCTGGAATGCAAAGCGAGCGCTGCTCACTAGGTTCGTCCCTTCCGGCGTGCCGTAGCACAGGCTTGGCCCGGCCCACAGTCTGCCGGTGCCATGGTTACGCTTCCTGTTTAACACCGCAGCGTGCGCAGCTGGAGGGTTTGTAGAGAGGTCTGCGTGACCCAGAGCTGCAGGATCGGGGCGTCTCCAAGGGCCGAGGCCCGGGTAGGAGCCTGACACCGGCCACGGGAGGCGACCAGCTCCATGAAATCCACGGGGACTGCTCGGCGAGATCCTGGGGGCTGCGGCTGGTCCGCTGGGGATGGGGAGGAGGAGGAGGAGGGAGGAGGAACTATCACTCCCAGCATGCACAGGGGCTTGGTCAGGCCGATCTTTGTCGCCCGGGAGCTGTAGGGTCTGCGAGGGTGGTTTTTTGTTGCATTCTGGGAGTTGTAGTCCTGGGCGGGACCCAGGCGGCTGTGGTGGGGGGAGCCCAGCCTTGCCTGGAAGGGAAGTTTCTTCTCTCGCAGGCTGAGAGCCTTGCCTGTTCCCGTGTGATTCTCACCCCCTCCGGGGGAGGGGCTGTTTTGCCAGCACCTGCCTTGAACCCCTGGATATCTTTAACGTAATAACTTGGCTGCTGTTTGTATTTGCCTTCTTGGTCCTGAGCCTTGTGGCTCTTTACACTCAAATCTTTTCTCCGCGAACCACGAGACGCTTTTTGTCTTTAAGTGAAGGCTGAGCTTCTGGAACCCACCCAGCCGCTTGGGTCTGCCAGAAAAAAAACCATCAAATAGCATGTGACTCCTGAGCCCATAATGAGGGTTGGCAAGATGATAGTATATTACCCGTGATCGCGATTAGCGCTGCAGTTGCGTTGATGGAGTCGAGGGAGGAGGGATTTTGCTGCACGTGAATGTATCTGCGTGAAGCAGTCCCACATTTAAATAAGTGCTCTCTGCTTTAAAAATTGTCCTAATGGTGTAAAATCCCAGGATGCAGCCTCTCCACCCTCCCTAAGTGCTCTTTTTAAAGTTTGGTTTGTTTTCTTTGTGAAACCTGAAATCAGGAGGAAATGTAAGGGCTTGTCTATGTGGGGGAAGTTAGGGTGCAGCGAACCAGGGTGTGAATTTAAAGCACAGTAAGTACTCTGCACTAAGGCAATGTCTACACTACAGCAGCACAGCTGCTGTAATGCTGTAGCATAGACACTTCCCATGTTGATAAAGGGTTTTTCCTGGTGATGTGGTTAACCCCTCTCTTCAAGATGGAAGGTCACCAGGGCCTAACTATTTCACTCTATGTGAAACTTTTCATAGCACTGAACAACATAGCTAGGTTAATCTAATACATGTACACCAGGCCTAATTCTCTGTGTGGAGGCTCTTACTCCGCACTCTTAAGAGTGCGGAGTAAGAGCCTCCACACAGAGAATTAAGAAAGAATAGCTAATGTACACAAGCTACTCTAGGCTTTTTGCCTGTATAGACAAGCCCTAAGCAATCTTGCTAAACTTTCTGTTGTATCCTTCCTAAGGAATGAAAAGAATGATGTATGAGTTATTCTAGCTCAAACTTTCAAAACCCTACTGGTACCCTCAGGCTTGCCACGTAAATGGCCTCTAGCCATTCTGGATTGGTTTTGTATTTTTATATAATATATATATATATACACACTGAAGTTATCAGACACATTGTAAACGTACACAAATTTAAAATAAAAATAGAATCAGAATGGCCCAAGGACACCAAGCTCCTCCTCACCTTAAAAAGACCTTTTTCCCTAAATCAGCTCTCCTGTCCCAAAACCTCAACTCTCGAAGTGCGCTATATTGTATCCGGTGTGCCATTTCACTGTGCACTTCTTGGGCAGTATCTATCTTAGCCTTCATATGTAAACTAGTGTAAAGTATACAGATGAAAGGCATATTAATACTGATTATTTATGTTTATGCTTAATAGTACCAATAGGAAAGGGTATAGGGTTGGCATGTTTTTTTGTTCATCCTAAGTGGCAATGTAACGGCAAGGTTGAACTTGGGACCTCTGGAGCTGAATATGTGAGCCTCTACCGCATGTGATTGTTAGCTAAGGCAGTAGCAGACTCATTAATCTCTCTCTAAGTGGTCTCAATGCTACTACATAGGATAGAGAGCCACACGCAGGAGGTGTGTGGGTTACAGCAGCTCCTGCCAAATCCACAGGAATAGGCTGTTCTGGAATGCTTTTCTTATCTCAAACTATTAAGCAAACCCTTTCCTGTGTTGTATTGTTTTTCTTCATTCCTGTTAGAGAGTAAAGTGTGTAGTTGGGATAATCTTGTGAAGTTCCTTTTCTCTTTATTAAAAAATAGAGATCCACATGCACTGCCCATACTCTATATCAGGGGTGGGCAAACTGCGGCCTGCCAGCTCTTTTAATCTGGCCCTTGAGCTTCCGCTGGGGAGTGGGGTCTGTGGCTTGCCCCTCTTCAGCACTCCAACCTGGGAGCAGGATTGGGGGGTGCTCCATGCAGCTCCCAGAAGCAGCGGCATGGCCCCCCTCTGGCTCCTACGAGTACCGCGGCCAATGGGAACGGCTGGGGAGGTGCCTGCGGACGGGGCAGCGTGCAGAGCCACCTGGCTGCACCTCTGTGTAGGAGCAGGAGAAGGGACATGCTGCTGCTGCTTCTGGGAGCCCCTTGAGTTAAGTGCCGCCCAGAGACTGCAGCCCGGAGCCTCCCTCCACGCCCGAACCTTGATCTCCCTCCTGCCTGCCAAACCCCTCAATCCCAGCCTGGCACACCCTCCTGCACCCCAAACCTCTCATCCCCAGCCCCATCCCAGAGCCCGCACCCCCAGCTGGAGCCTGTGCCCCTTCCAGCACCCCAACCCCCACCCCACCCTGCGAACCCCTTAGTCCTAGCCCGGAGCACTCTCCTACACCCCAAACTCTCCTCATCCCCAGCCCACTCCAGAGCCCTTCCCCCGCCCACCTACAGCCCACTCCCCTGCCCGCAGCCCGGAGCCCTTTCCCGCATCCTGAACACCTAATTTCTGCCCCATCCTGAAGCCCCTACCCCCCCAACCAGAGCCCTCACCCCATCCTGCACCCCAACCCCAATTTTGTGAGCGTTCATGGCCCGCAGGCAATTTCTATTCTCAGTGTGGCCCTCGGGCCAAAAAGTTTGCCCACCCTTGCTCTAAATCCATAGCTGACTAAATTGAGGCCAAATGGGAATGCATGTTTACTGTGTTTTGTTTAATACGGTCAGTGATTGAAGGTAATGCTCTTTGTGGACCTTTGAAGGTTGATAGGAAACCACAGATATGTGTACTGCCATATAAATAAATTAGCATGGTCTACCCACCACTGTGGCAACTTGGTTAGCAGCTCAAGTTCATTCCTAGGCTCCCCTTTAGGCTTTAACTTAAACTGCTAACTGGAGTTGCTATGTTTTTGCTGCTATTTTAATCCAAGTTAGCTAACCTGAGTTAAGGACACACCTTTTTTTCCAGTGCAGATATACCCTTAAACTCATATAACTTTGCTCATCTGAGTAGTTCCTCCCATTGAAGCCAATTAAAGTTACACACATGTAAATGTTCATGGGAACAGGGCCCAAGGTAATATATTTTTATTATTTGTGTGCATCCTTCTCTCTCAACAGATTGATAAATATAGAGTTTTAGGTCCCAGTACAGCCAAACCTTAACTTTACAAATGTGAGTATTCCATTGACATCAATGGGACTACTCATGTGTCTAAAGTTAAGTGTTCATGTAAGTCTTGTCATAGTTGGAGCCTTACTGTGGATATGGATGCTTTTTTGTTTTGTTTTAGAGCTTTTTGAGATACCTACTACTGCCACAAATCTAGCAGTAAATACAATATCCACTAAAAGAAAAAGAGTACTTGTGGCACCTTAGAGACTAACCAATTTATTTGAGCATAAGCTTTCGTGAGCTACAGCTCACTTCATCGATGAAAGTTTATGCTCAAATAAATTGGTTAGTCGCTAAGGTGCCACAAGTACTCCTTTTCTTTTTACAAATACAGACTAACACGGCTACTCTGAAACCTGTCAATATCCACTAATGTATTCCATTTTATTTTTCCTTTTTTGCTGTTACAATTTTATTATGGAAAGCTATGGAAGATGATGATGATGTAAAACTTGAAGAAGAAATAAATATAGAATTGAGCAGAATCAGTGTTACTTCCCTTGAAGCGGATGATTTCAACACTGATTTATCAGCAGAAGCTTGGAGTGATGGTGAAACAGTAAGTGTTTAATGGAAACAGGAGGGAGAGTACTTCCTTTACTTTTCATGGCAAATGTGTGTCTTTTGTGAAGTCCTCTTGCATTCCTGCTTTTCTAAGGTACTTGGAAATGTACTATAGGGTGGATTTGATTTAAATCACTAGTCAGGAAGACTCAACTTAATCATGGATTTCTACATAAAAGTACATTCTTGTTGGTTTTTATAACCTTAATACATATTCTTCACAACTCAGAGATAGATGTAGGTTTCATTTTTAGAAGGTACATTTCTATACATTTTTTATACACTATACATTTTTAAAGTGATTTATTTTGAAAACTTTTCAGATTAGTTTTACAGATATATCAGAAAATAAATGAATGATTGTTTGGTTATTTCATTTACCAAAGGTAACTGAAACAGATATTTATGAAGTCATTGGGAGGTGAACTATCTCCAATTCAACAGGTTAATCATTAATATTTGGAGGATTTTCTTGCCATGATGTATTAGGAGGAGAACATCAACAGACAGACATATAAATTGTTTTATTTAACTAAAACAACAACAATATGTATTCTGGATTTTTTTCTTCAACAGCAAACATATAATATTTTAACAAAACAAGCATATGAATTTTTGAATTTAAACATTCAAGTTTTTATAAAATCAGGTTTGTTTTTGTTAAAATAACTTTTTTTTAAAAAAATATTTCAAATCAACTATGTCAGCCAGGTCAACATGAAAAACTTAAAATATTGGCTTCTGCAGCTAACTCAGTCTTCTTCACCTTCATTTTCCTGTTTGTTCATAATATGGAAAAGAAAAACAAGCTTTCCTGCTTTTTCAGGTCCCAAACGATTTCTCAATTTGGAATGAATTAGTCCAAAGGAAGATATTTTTCTTTCTACACTAGCAGAAGAAGCTACTGCTGTTAAAAGTGAGATGATCTCTTCAACAGTCTCTGAATCCAAGTGCTTAAGTGTCTTCCATTAGTTCACTGGTGTGACTTTCTTTAAAACATCATCAGCAAACATATATTTCTTGAATGGTTTGCTCTGAAGTTTATTATAGTTGGCATTATGGAGGGCTGATTGCTGGATGTCCATTTCATAGCCAACTCATCTTCTTCAGCAGTTAAGGTTTGACTTGGTACTGAGTATTGAGAATATTTGCAAGAAAATGAGCTGGAGATAGTGCTTGTCCTGTTTGTTTTTTTAATGCTTGTGATTTAACTCTGTCATTGCATATTTCTCTTATTAAGATCTCACTCAGTTCCTTCCAGATTTCAACCGCATCAGCAATAAAACAGCTGTTTCCCTGCATTTTGTTCAAGGCGACAGAAATAGGCTTTAGGGTACTCAGTATGTGTTCAACATTTCTCTTAAGCCCAAGGTTGAGAACTTTGGCTGTGACAGTGCCATCTATTTTTTTATGATTTTGTTCACAAACTGTCATCAGATTAGGCCAGTTCTTGATATAGTGCTCAAAACAGTCCACTACTGAGTTCCATCGCATGTCTTGTGGGAGAGTTAGCTTGGTTCCTCCCACTTTTTTCAGAGCAGCTACTGCAAAGTGGTTATTACGGAAGTATTTTGCAATTTCAACATTAGGCTTTATTTCTGGAACACTGAAGTCTTTGTCTAGGAGGTGCATCCAATGAGCACTGAAACCATATGTTATTAGCTTGGGGACTGTGTTCTAAATTTCTTCTCATCTTGGATACATTTGCAGCACTGTCTGTGACCAAGCTGCGTACTAGACATTTGAATTGTTTTTCACAGTTTGTTATAGCTTTTACTGCTACTTCTTGTAAGTATTCTGCTGTGTGTGCATTTCCTGAGGTATCGATTGTTTCTGTAAGGAAGACATCCGCTTCTTCTGTTGTCACACAAGCACACACAACAGGATCATTGAGGACATCCGCCCATCAAGACTCAGGTGAACAATTTCACCCTCTAGACCTTTTGCACACTGCTCAATTTCTCTTTCATACACTTATCCAGCAATTTGCCTGCGACATCTGCTCCATCGGGTGGACTGTATCCTGGTCTTAATGACTGAACCATGTTAATGAAGTGTGGGTTCTCAATCATACAGAAAGGAGAGTTTGTTGCATAAACAAACGGGGGAATTTTTTCATCAATTACTTCTTTTTGTAATCTGCTGATTCTTATCACAAATTTATCTATGGTTGTTTATGGACGAAGGAGACTTTTTTTTTTTCTTTTTACATACTGTGGCTATGTGACATGCATGATGTGACTAAAACACTATCATTGGCAGATAACTCTGAAACTGTGGGAAAATGATGGTGATCTTGAAGGTGGATAGTCTTCAGAATCCTGGAATTGAGGATGGATTCTCCTAAACAAAATAAGTCAATGTACAGTAGTTATTTAATTATTATTACCATACTGCTCATTTACTCATTGCATTCACTGACACTCAATACTACTTTAAAGGTGAAATTGTAAAAGGAAGATCTGCCTATTTCAGCTATTTATTTTTTTATCAAACTGCGTCTAAAATGATAGTACCATAGAGTAACAACTATATTTTTTTGCTCAAACATGAGAATTCAAGAATAGTCCAGAGTGAAGACAGGCAGTCCTTAAGAAAGAAGTATGAAATAAAAAATTTTACCGACCTGAAGATCCTGCATGTTCAGACATGTTCCTTTCATCATCTTCAATGCAGCTTCCTCCTGAGAAGGAACACTTCTCGTGATGTTGTTTCATTCGGACAACCAGGCCTTGCATTTCTTTGTTGTACTGTTTGCATTTTTCACGCATGCCTGTCTTACCCACAGGTAGAGGAACTTCATTAAAATATTTCCAAACTGGAACTCTTTTATGGCCTGCTGCCATTATAGGTTTTTCCTCCTAGTGAGAGAATGGTATGGTAGATCTCAAATCTATGAAGGTTACACTCAGAAAGACCTCAAGACTTCTGGAATATGCTGCTCAAACAGTTTCACTTTTGTTTCTATTGCCTGTCCCTCCCTCCTCACATTTATCTCCAGACTTCTTCTCCTTGTCCAGATCTTTTCTGCCCCCAACAATCTTCTATTCATTGGAACTTTTTGAAACTTTGCAGTCTCTTAGAAAGAGGTAAGGGATTGGGTCTGTGTACACAAATTTGCAAAGGGACAGTAGGGTTGAGGTCTGTTATTTTTCACCTCTCTATATTATTTATCTATTTATTTAAAAAACATTTTTGCTGTTAACAAGCATGTTATCTCTGGAGACACAAATCCAGTTTGAGAACTACAAAAGGCCACGTCTACACTACCCACTGGATCGGCGGGTAGTGATCGATCTATCGGGGATCGATAGACATGTAGATGTGATTAAATCGATCCCCGATTGCTCTGCCGTCGACTCCAGAACTCCACCACGGAGAGAGGTGGAAGCAGAGTCGACTGGGGAGCGGCGGCCGTTGATCCCGCGCTGCGAGGACGCGAAGTAAGTGATTCTAAGTTGATCTAAGATACGTCGACTTCAGCTACGCTATTCTCGTAGCTGAAGTTGCATATCTTCGATTTCCCCACCCTCGTGTAGATCAGGCCAAAGTAACTAAGCATCTCTGATGGTATCTTCTAGACTGAGCACTGAGTCTCATTGAATAGATAGAAAGATTAACCTAAATAATCTATACAGAAGCCCCTGGAACCCCATAAAATTGGAACTCATTTACAAAACTTTTCTTAAACATTACATTAATATATTATCTCATACTATAGAATTAGAATTTATAATCTCTATTCCATGATGAGATATCTTTGAGCTATAATGTGTCTTAATTAAAACTATCTTTAGATTGCTTTTTGAGGGGAAAAAAGCATTTTTATAAAAAAAAATCCAATTTAAATTAAAAAAAATCTGATTTTTATTTAAAAAAAAAAGAAATAATTGATTTTTGTGAGATATGAGAGAGTCTAGATGACTAATATGCTATTTCCTAATATTTATTCCCTGGAGGAAAACCTCCTTCAAATGTATCCTCCTCCTATTAATTGAGCTCCATGAAAATGTAAATTTGAAGTGACAGATAAGCCCCTGAAATAAACTGATATTAAAGAAATACCTATTGTGAACTGTGTATTTAAAAGGGCATGTATTAAAAGAAAGCTATTTATGGGATATAGAATGAGTTGCAACCTGACTTTCAGAAAACTCAAATTGGTAGGTCGGGCATTCTGCTGAAGTCACAAGATCAGATTCCAGTGGATTGTAATTTTTGACAGAACCTTTCGATGTTAAAGATGGATGAACTTTAAAAGGTGATAAGATAGATAAAAGTTGTGATGGTTAACCAAATTAATCTTTGGTCTTAAAAATTTGGCTTGCAAATTTTGCAAGAAGAAGCCGTCTTGTATAATACTTCCCGAGTTTTGATTCTTTCCATATAAATTAATCCCTTTAGTTTCCCCCCTCTCCCTGCTTTTTTTAAGCTGTCTTCTGAATTCTGTCCAGTTGATTGAGACAAGGTAGATGAGGTAATACTTTTTATTGTGGGCCAACTTCTGTTGGTGGAAGGTACAAGCTTTTAGCGTCATAGAGCTCTTCTTTGGTATGAGGAGGGTAACCACGGTGTTGCAGACATTCCCTTCCCCATACCTGGTTACCTTCCCCATACCCGAGGAAGAAGCTAAAAGCTTGTACCTTCCATCAACAGCAAATGATCCAATATCCTGGGACCAACTCAGCTACAACAACGCTGCATTCCATTGACAGACATAATTCTGGTATATGCCTATAATTATATGTAGTATTCATAGAATCATAGAACTGTAAGGGACCTTGAGAGGTCATCTAGTCCAGTCCCCTGCACTCCAGGCAGGACTAAGTATTATCTAGACCAGTGCTACTCAAAGTGGTGGTCCGCGGACCGGTGCTGGTCCACGAGCCATTGGCTGCCAGTCTGCGCACACATTGGGAAAAAAAAATTGCCGGTCCCCCACATCAGATAGCTTGAGAAGCACTGTCTAGACCATCACTGACAGGTGTTTGTCCAAACTGCTCTTAAAAATCCCCAATGATGGAGATTCCACAACCTCCCTAGGCAATTTATTCCACTGCTTAACCACCCTGACAGGAAGTTTTTCCTACTGTCCAATCTAAACCATCCTTCTGCAATTTAAGCCCATTGGTTCTTGTCCTATCTCAGAGGTTTAGAAGAACATTTTTTCTCCCTTCTCCTTGTAACAACCTTTTATGTACTTGAAAATTGTTATTATGTCCCCGATCAGTCTTCTCTTCTCCAGACTAAACAGTCTGGTCTACTCTAGACCACCAAGTCCTACTATTCATTTTCTTGGAGTACTTCCAACCTCATCAAAATCAGAAAGTTCCTCAAGAACACCAAGAATACTGCATGCTATTCTAGGCACCTACATACCAGAATTATGTCAATCAGCTGGATGGAATTCAGAAAAGAGCTAAGAGGGGAGGGGGAGAAGTAAGGGACAAAATAGATTAATATATGTGTAAAGATTAACAGAACTGCATACTGTCTTCTTGTAGGCCCTCAATCCTAAAGTCAGTTCTCCATGGGCTCGGGGGTCTACCTACACAGAGGGTCAGGACCTTAGTAATTTAAGTACATATAGTCGTTGGAAAAAGTTATTTGGAGGGTAAAAAATATGAAGACAGAGAAGTTGCTAAAGGTAGATCCAGTAGATTATAACTGGGAATCATGGGATGAAACTGAGAAAATAAAGGTTTAAACTGAATTTCAGGAAATTTCTTAAGGTAAAAATTATGGAGGTTGGTGCAGCACTTCTTTATATCTGAATTATGATGTCGGTAGTGTATAGGAATGTGGAAACAAAGCCCAAGTGAGATTGACCCAAACCTTTTTCAACCTTACTTTGTTAGGTTTGAGTTTTGGGTCAGTCCTCATAGGAGCAGAGCATGTAGTGATGCCTGTTAAGGTTGTCTGACACTTTGCATTCTAATGCTCTGTTTTCACTTGTTTGTTTTTTTTTAATCTAAATCACTTCATTTACTCCTTATTGACCAATATATGATCATGGAAATAAATGTGTTTTTGGTAACAAACATTTTTATTGCTCTCCTTTGGCACCTCTTTTGGCTTCCTGCTCCCACCATCACTTATTCTCTGCTACCACTTTTCTGTAGGGATGCATCCTTGCTTCAAAGTCTTTGGACTATGACTGTAATCTCAAGGACCCATTGTGTTATTTCCATCATCAGAACCTTTTGTCTTTGTAAACTACCGCTGCCTATTGGCAGAAAGTTCCTAGAGCATTGGCCAGTGGGGATCTATTTAAAAACATAAGGCCTGATCCTGACAGTCATTAAGCACCTACAACTCCCACTAGAATAATGAATGTCAGGACCTCTCAATGTTCAGGGCCTCTGAGTACTAAGTGCTTCCTGAATGATGATGATCACCTTAATCTCCTGTTGATATAAAAAGGCATTGACACTCAGCAGCTCTCAGAAGGCACTGGGTTCTTCACAGGATTGGGACCCTTAATGAGGAAAAACAAATACAAATTCTGAACAATGAGGGTGAGGTCTCTCTTGCCCAGGTGAGCAATCTGCTGATGATATTCCACAGAACTGAGTTCACTCCTCTGCTTCCGGTTGCTCCTCTGTGCCTTTCTGCCTGTGACTTATGTAGTCGTGGATAGAGTAGAGTACCAGTGAAAAGAAGTGAAATGGAGTACAGTGGGAGCAAAGATGTCATTTGCAGGCTCATCTGAAAAAGCTAAATTCTATGGTTAATTAATGTCCCTGGGTTGGGGTATAAATTCAGGACTATACATTCCCTAGATGCACAATGGAATGCTCTCTAACTTCTTACTAATGTCAGTAAGAAGTTTTTACAGAGATCAAGGAGACTATGTTGCCTTTATGTAGTAACTAAATATTTAGTTATTTATTACTTGTTCAGTGCCTTCTTGTAATGCTCATCATTCTGAAGAAAATCTGTTCCCTTTCAGGCCACTGTGATCTCTGCCTTGTTTCCCCCCCTTCTCTGTTCTTTTCATTTCCATCCCTGCAGAAGCATCCTGTTCCCAACCTAGTGCACTTTGCTTCCATCCACTGAAATGATAAATTATTAAATAGTAGAGCTGCCTGAAAAAAACATAAATGAGAATTTTGCCCCACCAAAAATGTTGATTTGTCAAAACTGAAATGTTTTGTGGAAATGGATTGGTGTTGATGAAATTTTCATTGGGAGGTTTTTCAGGTCCAGCGCTTGAAAGAGGGAGAGACCCACCCACCCTAGGACAGCTGAAAGCCTGATGGTTAAGATACTTGCATAGACTGTAGGGAACCAGGGGTTCCCAACTCAGGGTTGGGGACTTGAATCTCCTGGTCTCCTACATTTCAGGAAAGTATCCTAACCACCAGGCTACAGCCTCATTCTCTAGCTGGCGCTCTGAATATTAAATTTATCATAAGTAGAACAGTTCCATCAGAAGAGATTGAGAGAGACTGACTCTGTAATCTGGTGATTAGGGTATTTGCTGAGGACGTGGGTATTGAATCATTTGTCCTTTTGTTCAACTTGGATCAAACCAATAACAAAGAAAACAATATCAATTAGAAAGATGCTTCTAGAGGGCAGTAGTAATTAGATTGCTGTGAAATCTAAATGACTGTCAAATAATGAGTGACACAATAATGAAACAAGGCCTGACTGAAAAAATACATGATTTGTGGGAGGGAGTGTGTGTCCCTCACTAAAAAACTAATGTTTTAGTGAGGGATGCATACGGTATGTCTACACAGCATTTTGGAGTGAACCAGGAATGAGTCTCTCAACCTGGGTAGATAGTCTTGGCTAGTGCTAGTGCTTTTAAAATAGCTATGTAGACAGACCCATGGACTTTAATTAAGAATGTTAAGGGTTTGCCTGTGGTCTTCACAGAGAGATGAACATACAGAATTTAATTTAAAATAATGTTTACTTCTAGACTTCAGATGAATTACCAGAATCAGTTCTGTACTGTCTAAACTTTGTGAAGAACAGAAGTCAAAATGCTGAAAATTTTATACTGCAAGACTTGGAAGATGAAAAAACCACAAGTAAGCTATGACTATAATAAATGTATGTGTGATGTGCCCCCTCAAACCCTCATATTGACAGTGCAGACCAAACTAACAACCATCCATAATATAACATAAATCGTCAAATGCAACAAAACTATGAAACCTATTGCACCAACTTTAACTCATCACCTAGTATTGCAGCTCCTATACTCTTTCAGATGTTCTCTGATTATCGTTAAGTAATGTAGCATGTAGTCTGGAAAATATGAGGTCCTGTATAGTATGGTATGCATCACTTTTATTACTACAAAACAGTTTGCAAAGGATTGGCTAGTAAATATGACTGTGTTCAGTGATACGGAAATCTTGGTTAATAGTTTATAGACTGCAATGCCAACGGCTTGAGGTGGTGTTGCTTTTCTAGCCTTCACAATAGCATGAAAGGTTTCTGTTGTTATAAGAGTTCTTAAAATCTGCATTCTTTTCTGCCTCATTGATTCAGACAAGGATATTCTAAAATTTCTGCATAATGTTAGACGGTCTGCAGAGATGGAAGTCCAAGGCATTTTACACATGTGCTGTATAGAGGACAAGTTGAAGTTGTCTTAATCCCATCCTTAATTCCTTCCTCATATCCTGCATAATTGATTCCTACCCTGCTACTGGGAAACCATCCAGGCTCCAGAATGTCACCACAGTCACTTCTCACTTCATTGTTGTGGGATGCTGAAGAGTGATGCATAATGTGCCTTCCCTTCTTGTGTTTTGAAGCTCCAATTCTGTTCACCACAAGGAATCAGTATTTCTCAACGACCGGTCCATAGACTGGTGCCAGCCCCTAAGATCTCCCTGACACAGTTTTCGAAGGCAGCAAGCCAGTCCCTGGTATCAAAAAGGTTGAGAAACACTGTTCCAGACTATTCAGGTCAATCATGAGTTTTTTCTTTTTTCTTCTCCCCCGCATCCCCACCCCACCACACATGTTTAACGTTTGTAATCTCTAAAGACTTAATTCAGAAATAGCATTTGCTAGGGTGGATCTTTGCACCTGGGGCCACTGCTGGCAGGTCTTCTCACAGGATTGTTCTCTGAAATAGTAGTACTCGCCCTCTCTAGACCATGCTCTTTTTAGGGTCAATCTTGTGAGGTGCTCAACACCCCTGCCTCCCACTGAAATTAGTGGGAGCTGAGGTAATTGAACACCTCAAAGACTGATCTCTTTGTTACTAAGTTACCCTACTTTGTTGAGACTCCAAATCCCAGTTTAGTCAGAGTTTCCAGGTTTCACATCATTTAGTTGGGACCTCTTCTGAATAAAGTTAAGTGTTCCCTATTCATCCTTAGGGGAAGTTTCTTCCATTTTTCTCAGTAATAAGAATTATGTATATTCTAAATATAATTTATGTATATGCTTACTTATTTACCTTGTCCTTTAGGGAAGCTTCAATTTGTCACAGTTCTTACTCTAAAAAAGTAACCACTGCACACTTATTACTTCCTACTACTGGAGAATGTTTAAATGTGTCTTGTCTTGTGGAGTAGTTTTCTTTGCATAGATGCTGTTGCCATAGATTTTCTTTCTTTTTTTTTTTTACTCTAATATTTATTTCTATATATCCAGTGCTTTAATTAGCGTAGATTAATTAGATTTAATTAATATTAACTGGACCTCTTCTTGTCTGAGTGGATTTGGGGTTTTTCTTAAAATAGTACCTGTGGTGTATGCTTTTAAAGCACAAACGCATTGTGTTTCTGATTTTGGATTTTATGGACAGATAATAGGGAACTAGCATTCACCAGAATTATACTACTTAGATTAAGACATCTTCTCCCAATGTCCTTTTTTCTCCCCCTTCCCTCCTCAGGTGATATCTATCGAGTAATTTCTAGCCCAGCTTCAGAGTACTTGGTAGAGTTGGCTTCTGAATACAATGAAGATCCAGATGCATTGAAGAAGAGGGTATTCTATGTTTAAACCATCTTTATAATAGATTCAGATAATCAGTTTCTTTTTTGGACCCAATCTTACAATGACCAATGCACTTGCTTAAATTTACACACTCTAAGTAGTCCCCATGGGACTAGTGGTGCACATGGTGTATAAGGGGAAGCATTTGCATGTGGTTTTGCAGGTTGGGGTCCTTGGCTGTGATATACTTAGTCCAGAGATCATGAAGTTATAACATTTGGTATAAATGTCTTAAGTGGTGGGGATGAACATTAAATGACTATAATAGACTTGGTCTATCAATTATTCATATTTAATCCAGAGGCAAAATGTCATTTTTAACTTTTTATAGTGTTCATTTTTAAATTTATCTATTATTTTACCATTGTCTGTTTCTTTTCATTATTAGGATTATGAGATCACTAACATAATTCATTTATTGACGAGGTTTTGCTGTTTCAGGGAAAATGTTAAAAGAATTATGACTGGAATTTTCAAGTCCGACTCATGGAGTTAGGCACATAATTTCCATTGAATTTCAGTGGCATTCAGTTGCCAAACTCTCATAGGTACCTTAGAAAACTTGAACCTATATTTTAAAAACAGTTCAGTTCTGTTTATGTACCACCTTTTACTTGTTTCCCTGTTTTTACCAGTGAGCACTGTATAAAATATGAAATTTAATTCCATTAAGAGAGCATTTTCTTGTGACCGTCCTGTTTGTGACAGCACAATTATTTACTGTGATGGTGGTGATATCACAAATGTAGAACTATACCTACACTGTGCAGATGGTCAATACGTAGCGGGAGTAGATCAATTCTTGGCAGTGAAGAACAAGGGAAGAAAAATTAGAAGATGTGATCCATGCAGTGTTGTTTTCAAATAATGTTTTTTTCAGTTTCCCTGTGTGATCAATGCCATGTATTTAATGTCCTAGTAGAATTAATTTATACATATGGTACTTGCATTTACTTGTGCAATTTCTTACAAAAAATATATTTTGACCATTTCCCTTTCAATATACAAAATATAAGAAAGCACTACAATCTTTTGGGAACTGCTCCAAATATTCCTTACTCTAGAAAATAACATTCTAATTTTAAATATAATTGTGTGATACTGTTGCCTAAAGGCTGCAGTTAGGGATCAGAGCCCCTAGATTGCTAAACTCTGGACAATGAAGATGAAGACCCTGACCCAAAGTCTTTATCTGAAATGTTCTGGATTGTTATAGCTTCATCCCATTTCATTTCATCATGAGAATGTGTTTTGGTTTTATACAGATACTGTCTGAAATAGAAAATGAAGAATTGCAGACCAGTGCAACTTCGGACAGTAATAGTCAACCCATCAATGAAGATACAACTTGCAGTGTGGTTGCTGATGAGCACTCTGTCACAGGTAAACAAACAATATTAATTTATTTGTGCTGCTAATTAGTGCATACTAATATCGCTGAATAAAATATTTCTTCTGCTCTGTCCTTTTGATGAGAATAGTTAAGGCAGTACAGTACAATATATATTACAATGCATAGGTGCCAACTCTGTGGGTGCTCCGGGCTCGAAAAAAAAATAGTGGGTACTTAGCACGCACTGGCAGGCCCACCTCTTCCCCCCCCCACACCCCCTATGTGGCTAAGGGAAAATTGCCCTGGTGCCTCCATAGGTAGGACTGCTCTAAGACTTCCTTACAAATCCTGGCATAGTGGGCATGTATGTTTGTGGCAGATCCTTAGGCTGGAGTGGGTAGGCCTATAGAACTGTGGGCATTTTGTGCAGTGCCAGCTCTTGTAGGCAGCCCATAATAGATCAGCTCCATGGACTGCCACGTTCTGCTCGTAGCGCTTTTTCAGCCCCGGGAGCAGCAACTCCTGCTCTAGGGCTTCAAGTTGTAGGCTGTACAAACACAAAATCTTACTCATATTGTTTTCTTTTCAATCCATTAAATTATTTCATGATTTCAGATAAGTAATTACTGTGAGCTGAGACTTTTAGTTAAAAAGTGTGTTTGCTTAAATTCTTGTAGATAATTGTGACATGACCATTAGCTTTACTTACCATGAAGTAGAGGAAAGGTGCAGGCAAGAATTTGAGCTTTGGGAGGAGCGACAAAAAGAACTTGAAGACCAGAAAAGGAAAAAGCTGAAAGCTGAGCGGGAAATAGAGGAAAAACAAAATGAAGAGGAAAAGAAAAGAAGGCAACTATATCTGGAGGAATTTGAGGCTGAAAGGATGAAGTTAGAGGTGCTTCATAAGGTAACATTTTAACAAAGACATGTACAACATACCCCTTTATTTATCTGGACTACTTGAACATACAGATCAATGCTGAAGAGAGGGGAAAAAAGTACCCTCTCAAATCTCTGCACATCCCCACACTTCTGGTTCCAAAGAGAAATACTGCTGAGAATAGATCATGTAGATCTTTGTATTGATTGTCTCTTGTCCCTGTTTTGATCAGCTGTGAACTACTTAACAAAGCTGACATTTAAATTGTCATAGTTAGGCTTTATCATTATTAGTAAGTATTTATAGTATGGTATCAGCCAAAATCCCTGGACAAGAATGGAACCCCAGTGTGCTAGATGCTGTACAGATACAAGATAGATACTAGAGCAACTCATAAAAAGGACTTTTTCATGGAAAATTTTCCAACTTTTTGGTGAAAAATCCAAAACAAAATATTTTGGCTGAAAGTCAAACACTGCTATGGTGCCTCCTGGGATTTGTAGTTCTGTTTCTTGTGCTCCAGTTCTTTTCTTTTTATGTTGTTCTCCTTGGTCATATTATGCCTGCCTGATGCACCAGAGTTCCCTCATAGTGAAGTGAAGTGGTTGCATCATGGAAGTTGTAGTCTGGCTGGGAATCTCAGGCCATAGAGAAGAATGAGGGCATAAGAAAAATGAATTACAGCTCCTATGAAGCACCTGATTCAGGTATCTGATTTCAATTTTTTTGGTTTTCAGCCTAAATATTCAGGCTGAAATATTTTGGTGTTGAGGAATCTGCTTTTTTGATGAAAAATTTCTGTTTACTGTGAATTTTGTTGTGAAAAACTTCATTTCATCGAAACCCCAGTTTTCTGTCAAAACTGTTTTGGTCTAAAATTTTCATGTAGCCATAGGAGACATTGTTCCTTCTTCAAAGAGCTTATCAACTTCAGAATTATACACTATTCTAATGGGGGTAGTTCACACTTCTGTCAGTGCATTTGTTTCAGACTTAGACATAATTGCATCAGTTAGCCTGTATGCATTTTGAAGGATCTCTTCATGTCCCATAAGGATAGACACTTTTTTTTAATTCTCAACAATAGATTGGTAAATAACTGCCATCTTGTTCTTCAAAATCTCCAAAGTAAAGTAAAGTACCAAGTTGCTGACCTGGTTTTGTCTTTCAAGGTATGACCAAATGGGTGACATTGAATCTGAGTTTTTAGCTACTGTTTTGTTTGTTTGTTTGTTTTGTTTTGATTCAACCAACCTGACTGCTTATTATATTTCAGGTATCAGCACAAAATAAGTGGATCTTTGGAGAATGCTATTTTTATAGTCAGCTGTGATTTTAGTGAGTTACGTAATGAAATATATTAAAATAATTGATATAAGGTTACTTGTTATACAGCAGCAACAAGCTATGATGGAAGATGAGTTACTGAAAGAAAAGGAAGTTTGGAGAGAGAAGTTTAGGCAACATGAGGTAATTTGTACACATGAGCTTTTGTCAAAAAGGATTTGAATGTTATTGTACTATGCTTGAAAGATACTTTCATTGTTATGAAGGAAAACACATAGTGTTTTAAATCAAATTTAATGATTTATACCATGTGTGTTAAGAAAGTTTACCTGTGTGTGGTTTTAAAAAAGAAAAAAGTTTTTGAAATTTGTGAAAGCAGCCCTTCTTTTAAGAGGGTTAACTCTGGCTGAGCAGTCCATTTCTCTTCTTGTTTGAGCATCTACAAATAGCTCTCAAGTTCTCCAGCTAAACAAAACTTTTGGCCAACTTTACAAACTGGAGTTTGTCTCCATGTACTGATAAAAGACAATCCTGTGTCCAGACTTGCCTGGAGAAATGTAGAAGAAACCATATTAGCAGAAAGTAAAATACCTTTTAAGAATAAATCTATGTCTGTCTTGTTTCACATATTACAATTACATCTTAAGGAAGAGTTCAATAATTCAGATGCTGAATAAAATGTATTTCCATTGTTGTTTTGGCACAGGAATTGATCAAAAGACTACAGTTGCAAATAGAAGAGGAAAAAAGGGCCTTTGAAGAGCAGAAAGCAAAAGAAAGACAACACTTGGCAGAGCAGTGGAATACAGCAGCTGTGAAAATCCAAGCTAGATTTAGAGCATTTATCGTGTACAGAAAATATGCTCCTATCTTAAAAGAATGGAAAGCAGAAATTAAAAGGAAGAAGGAACTGCAACAAACAATGGAGAGAGAAAAGAGAGAAAAAGAAGAAAAAATGAGGAGACGGATGCAAGAAAGGAAGCAAAAAGAAGAGGAGGTGAGAAAGAGACAAGAAGAAATAGAAAGACAAGCTCATATGGAACAGATGAGGAGACGTGAGGAATATGAAAAGAAGAAAGTAAGTCTGAGGCTTGAACGAGAAAAAAGCCTGCAACTAGAAGGACCTAGAGGGCAACAAGGAGCAAAACAAAAAGAGAAAATAGCAATAAATACAGAAAATAGAGACAAAGACACACAAAATACAAAGAAAGAAAAAGAGAGAGAAAATATAAAAGACCTAAGAGAACAGGAAAAGGAGCAGAAGAAACAGATACTGGAAATAAAAGAAGAGGAAGAGAAACCAGAAAAAAAACATGTTGGAAAGATACAAGAGGCAAATAATTTGGAGAATCCAAAAGACAGAAAACAGACACCACCAAACTCTGAGAAGAAAGAAGAGTCTCGTGAAAAAAGTAATGAAAATGAAGATGGGCATGTGATGACACATACAGGAAAAAGTTGCCTACAAACTATAGATCTTGATAAAAATACAAATACAAATATGCTGGATAGAGAAGCCATTGTTCTTGTAGCTAATGATGCAATCGCAAATAAGGAAAACAGTATGCACAACAGTCAGTGGAATTTGGAGGCCCAGCCAGAGAACAGGACCAGTGAACACAAAATGCAATCGTGTAAGTTTGAAACAATTAAAACAGCAGAGGTTGTGATGAAGGAAATTCAAGAGGGAGTTGCTGAGGATTGGGACAAAAGTGAGAGTGTAATTAAGTATTTTGAGAGGCCACTAACACTACTTGATGATGTTGAAAAGAAGAGGCTAATGTGGATGACAACGTGTAAACCCTGGTCTAAAATTTATAGGGAAAACCAAAGAAAGAAAGTCATTAAAAGAAGCAGACCAAGAAAAACCTCAGCTAGTAAGATGCCTCCATTAAGTATAGAAATGATTATTCAGTGTGGCCCCTGGAAAGCCCTCCAACAGGTAACTAAATACTGTAAGTAATTCTTAAGCAGTGATTTACGTGAGAGCTGACTGGACACGTGAGGTGGAATTTTCAAAACTGCCAGCGTTGGCCTAATTGGTATTCCCATTGACTTCTTCAAAGGGAAAACAATGAGGCCAATGTTGAGTGCTTTTGGAAATCCTTCTTGTGGTGCTGAATCTTTGTTTTCAGCTGCTAAACGGCATTAAGTAACAGCTGAAAATACATAGTTTCCTAACGTTATTTTTCCATATAAGAAATTGCTTTATTGAAACAAGGATGTTCTGTGACTGGGATAGGAAGTGGTGCATAAGACCATGTCTCTATCAAAATGTGATTCACACTGATAAAATGGCCCAGAACTGCAGAATAGTTTATTTTAATGCAAAAGAGACTGGCACATATTTGTATTATTGTCAACTGACTTTTATCAACTGTGACAGGGTTGGGTCAGATGGCTACAGGAGAGAAAAAGAAAGCAGATACATTAGCCCCAGACTAAGCAGGTCCCTTTTTCCTGGGTAAGGTAACAGGGAAGGTTTTTTTTTTTTTGAAACAGAAAAGAATTTCATTTGTAATACTTACAAAGAATTACCAAAGAAAACAAAACAAACTATGCAACAAAACAAGGCAAACAGAAGGTATAACACAACAGCTTTCAGGGGAGAGAAGTGTTCAGGCTAGTCTGGGCCCAGAGCGGGGGAGCTTCCTCGACACTCATGGTCTTCCACCCTCCTGAGTTACCTGGTGGCCTAGAGCGGGGGGGCTTCCTCGACACTCGTGGTCTTCCACCCCCTCGAGTTACCTAGTGCCGCGCCCAGTGTCACCGATTATCCCTCTCCTGAGAGTGCCCGGCAAGATGGGCACGGCTGTGGGGTGGGCAGTTCAGGGGTGGGGGGTAGACACCCATGTATTATAGGACCCCTCCTAGATGACAGTAATGATGGTATCCACAGCGGCAACGGCTGGGGCTGGCGTCTCTCGCTCTTCCCCTCAATCAAAGGGTCAGACGGAGGGAACCAGATGGGGTCACCGAGCAGAGAACCCCGGACAGCGCCCACCGCTCCTCGAAGGCGTCAAGGGAGTCGGTGGACGCCGCCCAGAGGAACTCCGCCCGGATACGTGAATCTACTGAGGATCGGAAAAAGGCCCTACAATCGCAGGACACTTCATGGGCCAACCTCCCCTCTCTGGTTTTATAGATGGCTGTTTTAGCCAAGGCTAGGAGGAGGTTAACCAGGAGGTCTCGCGATTTTGTGGGGCCACGGATGGGGAGTGTATAGATAAAAAGGTGAGGGGAGAAATGAAGCCAAAAGCGCAATAGAATATTTGTGAGGAGCCGGAAAAGGGGCTGCAATCTGGCACACTCTAGATATACATGTGCCAGGGTTTCCCTCACATTACAAAAAGGACAAGTGTCCGGGATGGGGGTAAACCGTGTCAGAAACACGCCCATGCTCACAGCTCCGTGAAGGAGCCGCCAATTGATGTCCCTGACGGGCCTCGGGACCAAGATGGAATACAGGCTGGCCCACCGAGGTTGCTCACCCTCCAAGGGTGGCAGGAGGTCCCGCCACTTTGTATCGGGGCGGGACACCAGGGTGTGGGCATGAAGGGTGTGAAGCGTGAGTGTGTATAAATAATTCTGTGGTGCGATTTGAAAACTGACCGGCTGCAGTTCATGCAGCTGGCTTGCAGTGGAAGGGTGAGGGGTTTGTTGGGATCGGCAGGGTAGGGGCCCAATGGAAAGGTCCGGCAGGCCTGGCGTAGAGGATGGGTGGGGTGCACCCTCGCGCAAGGCCCGGTTGACATAAGCCCGAGCAGTGGGGCTCAAGGCGGCCTTCACCTCCTGAAGTACGCGCCGGAGGGTACGAGGGCTGGAGAGCCCCATGCGCCGAGCGAGCGTCAGGGGATCCAGCCAATCTCTCCGGTTGTAGTCCAGGAGGTCTCCGACCCTCGTGACTTCCACCAGGACCAATCTCTGGCGCACCGAGCGGGACTCCGCCACCTGCACACGGAGCTGGGGGTTGTGTAGCATGGGCTCCATGAGGAGATCTGCTCCCATGGTGGCCGCCACGGACCTGGTTGTTAGAAATAGTTTCCAGGTCCGGAGGAGAGAAGAAGACCAGCAGCCCGGAGAGGTCTCGCAGAAAACCTCTCAGACAAAGATAAAAGAGCTGCCGGTGGTATCGGAGCCCTTGGAAGCGGCGCAGGAAGGCGTGCGCCAATATGCTCCACGTCGAACTACCTGCACTATAAAGGAGCCTCTGCAGGGCCTGGAGGCGGAAAACGCGGACCTGAGTGTACAGACACTTCAGGCCCTGCCTTCCTTCCTTCAGGGGTAAATGAAGAACTCCAACAGGGGCCCAGTGCATTCCTGACCAAAAGAACTCTAGAATCAATCTCCGGAGGTGGGTCAGGAAACCCGGGGCCGGTGCCAGGGTGTTGAGCCGGTACCAGAGCGTGGACAGGACTAGTTGGTTAAGCACCAGTGCTCTCCCTCGGAGGGAAAGACATCGGAGTAGCCTCGTCCATTTCCGGATCCGCTCTATCATCCCGCCCTCTAAATTTTGCCAGTTCTCCGGCGGGGAAGGGTGCGTGGCGGAAAGGTAAACGCCGAGATAGAGCAGTGGACCCACACTCCACCGGATGGTCTGAAGCGTGCGTGGGGGGGAGCTTACCTGCCGCCAGTCCCCCACCGCCAAGCCAGAGCTCTTGACCCAGTTGACTCATGTGGAGGAGGCTGCCAAGTAGATGGCCTGGCAAGCCTCCACTCGCGCCAAGTCGCCCGGGTCCTGGACCACGAGGAGTAAGTCATCGGCATACGCCAACAGGACCAGCCGCAGCTCCGGCTCCTGCAGCACCAAGCCTGTCATCCTCCTGCGGAGGAGACAGAGGAAAGGCTCGATCACCAGAGCATACAACTGGCCCGAGAGGGGGCACCCCTGCCGCACTCCTTGCCCGAAGCTGACGGGTTCGGTCAGGGTCCAGTTGAGCCTAACCAAACGCTCCGCGGAGGCATACAGCACCCTGAGAAAACTCACAAACTGAGGTCCGAACCCAAACGCCTGAAGAGTGCTCAGGAGGTACCCGTGGTCTACTCTATCGAACGCCTTCTCCTGATCAAGAGACAGGAGGGCGAACGACAGACCGTCTCTCCGCCCGAGTTCCAAAAGGTCTCGGACTAGAAATAGGTTGTCAAAAATGCTGTGACCCGGGACAGTATAGGTCTGGTCTGGGTGGATCACGTCCGCCATCATGGACCCTAGCCGCAGTGAGATTGCTTTTGCTACGATTTTGTAATCCATGCTAAGGAGTAAGACAGGATGCCAGTTTCGTAAATCGCGGAGATCCCCCTTCTTCGGCAGCAAGGCGAGCACCGCTCACCTGCACGACAGAGGGAGGACCCCGCTCTGCAAGGACTCAGCGCACACAGTGACTAGGTCTGGGCCGAGGATGTCCCAGAACGTGGGGTAAAACTCCACGGTCAGCCCGTCCATGCCCGGAGATTTATTGGTGGGCATGCGACGGAGGGCTTCCGAGAACTCGGCCAGGGTGAGAGGCAGCTCTAGTCGGTCTCGGTCGCCCACGCTGACCGTGGAGAGTTCCTCCCAGAGCACCCCACAAGCGCCAGGATCGGTTGGATCCGGGGAGAAAAGGCTTGTGTAGAAGTCACGGGCCCTCCCACACATCTCCTCCGGATCCGTGAGGGGGTGCCGTCTTCCGCAAGAAGGCAGGTGACCTCGTTGGCCTCCCTCGTTTTCTCCAGGGCATAGAAGAAGTGGGAGCCGCGGTCCATCTCCCAAAGGAGGCGGCTGCGGGACCGAACGAAGGCACCTCGGGCCCGGTGGTCCTCGAGGGCCCGGAGCTCCTCCCGCTTCTCCCAGCACGCTCCGCAGAGGGACGGGTCCTTGGGGTTGGCGGCCAGGCGCCTCTCCATCTCTAAGACCTCCCGTTCCAACTGCTCTATCGCCGCATTTCTCCGTCGGCTGGTGCCCCGAGTGTAGTCACGGCAGAAGAGCTTGGCGCGCACCTTCCCGAGATCCCACCATCGCCGCACCAAGGGAAAGGCACACCACTGCTCTCGCCAGGCCAGCCAAAACTCCCAGAAGGACGTCACGAAGCTCTTGTCCTCCAACAGGCTGTTGTTAAAGTGCCAATAGGCCGGCTCCGGTCTCTCTGCATGGAGGGAGACCGTTATGGTGACTAAATGATGGTCGGAGAATGGGGCCGGCTGAATGGCGGAGGAGTGGGCCTGTGAAAGATGGAAACAGGATAAGTAAATACGGTCCAACCGAGAGTGGTGTGACCGATGGGCCTCCACCCGGACAAAAGTGAACGTGGAAGTGTCATCTGGGTGATGGTTACGCCAGACGTCCACTAGGGAGTGATGTTCAACTATTCCTCGGAGAATGTTCGCGGCGGCCGGGCTCAGCTCGGCCCTTGAGCGGTCCTGTTCCTTGAGGGTGGTGTTAAAGTCCCCTCCCAGGACCAGGCACTCGTGCGAATCTAGGGTGCCGAGAAAGTCGGACACCCGCTGATAGAATTGTGGCCGCTTTGGGCTTGTTTGCGGGGCATAGATGTTAACAAGATTGACCACGAGCCCCTCCATAAGGACTCGAAGGTGCAGCAGGTGGCCCGGCACGGCCTCAGTGACCCCTAGCACCTCGGGCCGTAGATTGGGGGAGAACAGGGTCACCACTCCAGCTTGTCGAATCGTGAAGTGGCTAAAGTAGACCCTGTCCCCCCACTCCAGCTGCCACCTGTCCTCGGCAGTCGGGTCCGTATGGGTCTCCTGCAGGAAAACTATAGAGTACCCCCCTTCCCGAAGGTAAGAGAGCACCTGGGACCTGTGGAGAGCCATCCTACAGCCCCTGGTATTCAGGGTTGCAATAATAAGAGGTGTCATGTGGGGGGTTGGGGGTGTTCTTGGCCCCCGGCGGGTTGCGCAGCAACCCGTGACCCATCCCGTGGATGAGTAGATTGTTTCGGAAGCCGCGGGCCCGCTCGTAGGCCGCAGCACCGCGCTTTCCTTGCCCCCTGCCCTCCTGTAGAAGGGCCCTTGTGGTCTGGAGGATTTGGTCAAAGTCCCCCCGTAGCTGAAGAGCCAGCTGTACCCTATTGCGGGCGCCACGGGTGTGTTCTAGGAACTTCCGTAGTGCATGCTGCAGCTCATGGGGGGTGGGGTTACGATTTCCGGGGTATTCCCGGGTGGGGCTCTTAATGCAGCCTCGTGGTCCGCTGAAGCTGGCAGGCAGGGTGCGGACCACTGACAGGGCGTCTGACAGGCTGGTGTTATTAAATCCATTTCACGCCTTGGGGGGGAAGGGGATGGCAGGGAAAAAATTGCAACTCCTTGGGGCGGGCCCTCTCCTATACCCGGTAATATCTTTGCCACATCCTCCTCCATAGACTCTACCAGATTGGTAATAGCAAGGGTGGGACTCCCTTGCTCGCCTGGGTGTTGTAGGGAAGGTGTTTCTTGGGCCCGGACGGGAGCAGCGGAGGATCGAGTAGGAGGAGGGTTGGTTTCAGGTGCCGGGTGGCCAGGGACGTCGGCAACGACGGGGCCGATGTCCTGCCGGGTCTCAGGTGCCCCTCCCCCCTGGGCCAAAGGGCAGTCTCTGCGGACGTGCCCCGCTGAGCGGCAGAGGTAGTACCGGGCCTCTCCGGTGGAGTAAAAGACCCGAAAGCGGGATCCTTGGTAGTGGACTAGGAAGGACCCCTCGAGCGCCTCTCCGTCACGCACCGTCGCCGGCGGTAGAAGCTGCACTTGCTGGCAGAACAAAAGATGTGACGGAGGGTGGGGTCCTTGCAGCCCAACGGGAGAGGGCTGATGACAGAGACAAGTTTCCCCAGGGTGGAGAGAGCGGGTAACAGGGCAGCATTGGGTAAAAAGGGAGGAACGGAGGTGAGGACGAGGCGAACGCCCAGGTCTTCTAGCGGCGTCGGGGGACAAACACCCCCCCCCCACCACCAGTCCCTTCTCCACCGCCTCCTGAGCAGCAGCCTCTGAAGCTAAGAAAAAAACGACCTTCCCATACATTTTGGAGGCCACCACAATAGCCGTGGGTCCTACCACGTTCGCCAACGCTTGCACGTATGTCTCTACGTGGGGCGAGGCGGGCACCAGGAGGCAATGGACACCGTGCCTCCTGGTCAAGTGGGGAAGGGGCCCCGGCCGCTGGTGATGGTAGCGGAGGCAGTGGGTGGGCGAGATGACGAGGTGGCAGGCAGGGGGGAGCCTGCCACCGCCCTGGCATACGTCCTGGGGGCCGGGGGAGGGACGTTTGCAGAGCTGGTGGAGGGAACAGCGGGGGGGGCGCCATGGTTGATGACAAGGCCACAGCGGTGGGGGCAGCCCCTGCCATGGAGGGCCTAGTGGTTTTAGTGGGGCCCTTTCCTTTCTTCCCGCCCTGGCCTTTTCGGCCAGCTGGGGGGGGGAGTCCTAGAATCTGGGGGGGCGGTGGACGAAGCAGTGGCAGTAATCGCCCCGGTGCCTCCTGCTGCCGGTGCCCCAGTGGGGGCGGTGGCAGGTATTTTGACAGTGGTGGTGGTGGTGGGGGGCTCGGGGGTTGGGTGGGGGGGAGGTGGGGGAGGAACAACTGATATTGGTAAAGGGGCCTCGCCCCTCTCATTCTCCGCCATTGTGAGCAGGGAGAGATGGGGAGACACCGGAAGGAGGAGGGGGGAGGGGGAAGCAGATTAACCGCTCCTCCCTGCTGGGCTGCAGGCGGGGGGTACCAAATGGGTTGGACTGGAAGGGGGGGAAAAACAGGAATCGGGGTCCGGTGATAGGGGCAAGCTGTGGGATGAACAGTCCGGGGGGGGCTGTGGACCCATGCACGTTTGTCCAAAGAGTCTCGTTTGGTCGGCTGTTATGTCCGGTCCGAAAGGCAAAGTTCAAAGCAAACAGCTGGATCCGAGGCAGATGGCAGGTTGCCAGCAGGGACGGACGGCGGGGGGGGCCGTGACCGTTGTAATAATTTTGGGGGGGGGCACCGATTGATCGGGGGGCAGCTCCGTGCCACACCCCCTGTGCCGCCACAAACGTAATTAAGCCACAGTCAAACTCCCCCCCCACGAGAGTATAATTCAAAAAATTACTCAGTCTTACGGCCCCCTCCACGATGATCTGTAGCTTCTCTGGGTGATTTCTTCTTCTCTAGCTGTGTTGGCTGTGTTCCAAGGCTTTCGGCAGGCCGAGAAAAATTGCAGAAATAAGCTGACAGCAAAACGGCTGGGTCTGGGGGCTTCCACTCCCCCCTCCGGATAGCGGGTCGGCAATCTTCCCCCCCCTCCTCCAGGGGTTTCAGCTGAGGCAAATAGCTGCGCCCGGGAGCAGGCGTTGGGGGGGGGGGGGGAGGTGCTGGCGGCAAGTTGGCAGCTGACCAGCACTCAGTGGCAGCAGAAAACGGCAGAAAGACGAAACGAAACAAAAAAGCGTCTGGCCCGGTCGGGGGGAGAACTAAGGCAGGCTCAAAAAGTAAGAAAAATCCAGGCCAGGGGGCTTTAGGAAAGAATAGAAAGCAGATAGCTAAGGAGCAAGCGAGGGACGTCCCGTTTCCCAACAGGGAAGGTTCCAGAACAATCAGGAACCTTCTGGAGACCATTAAGACAGACAGGTTGATTAGAACACCTGCAGCCAATCAAGAAGCTGCTAGAATCAATTAAGGCAGGCTAATCAGGGCACCTGGGTTTTAAAAGGAGCTCACTTCAGTTTGTGGTGCACGGGTAAGGAGCTGGGAGCAAGAGGTGCTAGGAACTGAGAGTGAGAATGCATACTGTTGGAGGACTGAGGAGTACAAGAATTATCAGACACCAGGAGGAAGGTCCTATAGTGAGGATAAAGAAGGCATTGGGAGGAGGCCATGGGAAAGTAGCCTAGGGAGTTGCAGCTGTCGCACAGCTGTTCCAGGAGGCACTCTAAACAGCTGCATTCCACAGGGCCCTGGGTTAGAACCCGGAGTAGAGGGTGGGCCCGGGTTCCCCCCAAACCTCCCAACTCCTGGTCAGACACAGGAAGAGCTGACCTGGACTGTGGGTTCATAAAAACGGCCAAACTGAGTGCTGCTGTGAAGCTCCAAGGCAAGCAAATCCGCCAATAAGCGCAAGACCCAACAAGTTAGAGGAGGAACTTTGTCACACAACATACCATTATTATTCCTAATATATATGATACTTAGTTTAGCGACGATTCTTTTCACTTCTATTATGATAAGATTAGATACACTTCTAATCTGTTGACGTTATAAATGAGATGAAACCCACGTTGGCTTCTGTTTTGCTGTCGCATTAATCTTCTATTCATTCACATTATACATTATTAGTAGTGAAGCACTTATGTTTGAAATGGACATCAAAATCAAATGAGTTTGGCTACCTTTTTATAGTTTTACCAATTTTTTCCACTATCAGTCATAAATTAGGGCTTTCAATTAATTGCAGTGAACTCAAACGATTATCTCAAAACAAATTAACTCAGTTAAAAATAATCACGATTAATCACAGTTTGAATCACACAGTTAATAATAGAATACCAATTTAAATTTATTATAAATATTTGTGGATTTTTTCTACATTTTCAAATATATTGATTTCAGTTGCAACACAGAATACAAAGTGTACAGTGCTCACTTTATATGATAATTTTTTAGTACAAATATTTGCACTATTCTGTGGAATGGTGGCCAAAGAGTAAAGGGACATACGAATGTTTCGCATATGCTATTTTTGTTTCTTTTCTACAGTACAAATATTTGTAATAAAAATGATTAAAAAATTGCAATTAATTGCAGTGCTCACTTTATAATTGTTTGACAACCCGATTATAAATCATTTTCATGTTTTTATGATGCTTAAGTATTGTTGTTATACATTTTTTTTTATGACGGGAGCATTAATTTATCAGTTAATGATTTTGCTGAAGATCAGAAAACTTTTAGTCTTTAAGTGTTTTATAGTAAATTCAGAATCTAGACTTAATTCATATAATTGTATGCTACGTAGTATGTATTTAACTTTAAAAAGGCTACATAAAAATACCATTAGAATGCAATCTTATGGACATCCTTTTCATTGAATGTGTGTAGGTTACAACACTTACGCTTCAAGATTTGTCTGGCTGTAGCCTCTCCACATTGTCAGAATGTTCAAATCTTCAGTTATTGACCCTTAGACGCTGTGGACTAACTGCACTGGAAGGACTCAGTAACTGCAAAGGCCTAAAGTATATTGATGTGGAGGTACCTAGCATATTTTACTGTCTACGTGGAGGTGGGGTGAGACTGTCATCTCTGCCATTCAGAATACTATGAGACTGAATCCATCAGTTTATATGTGTATGTACATATAGGACAATATTTTTTTTTAAAAGTGCCAAAAGTTAGTCTACTAAGTGCATAGTTAGGATTTGCTCTTAATAAGCAGCCTGATTTTCTACAATTATGAGTACTTAACCTTGTTCCTTGTTTTTGGCTCAAAGACAAAGTTGAAGGGACACAAGGAGATGCTAGTCTACTGTATATATTGTTATAATTTTAAAGTGCAGTAATTTGGAACTTCCAGAAGTCAGAAATAGGCACAGTCTCTTTCTCTGTCTCCGAGTATTAGGTTGTGAATGGCTCTAGTGTGAGTATGGAGGGAAAGTGATAAATCTTCATTCCCTCTGTTGCATGGCTGTACAAAGGCTGTCTCCCCCCACCCCACCCCATAGTGACTAGAGCATTTAAAAGTGGGCAAGAAGGCCTTAGGCACATATCTCCTGTGTACTAGCCCAGATTGCTTGCCCACATGAGCAAGGAGCAGCACCAGCATTGGTTTCTGGGACACAGTCTTTCCAGTGCTGCTTCTGCGGGGGGTGGGGGAGGGGTGGCATTGCACTGCTGCTTTCACGGAGCTGTGGCTTAAAATCTAAGTGACTAAAGAAAATGTGTCTTTTTATAATGTGCCTCATTTAAAGAACTTGACGATTTATATGAAATGGATGGTTTTACCTTTTCGGTTTTTAGTATTTTGATTAGGTCAATGCACTGGGAGAGTTCATGCATAATGACTAACAGAAGACAAATTGTGTATACAAGCTTTGAATGTTTCTTTTTTGCCCAATGACTACTGTTTGGAGTGTGCTGTGACCTTCTCAAAACTGAGAGAGGAATGGGCAAGGTCAGTTATAGCTAAGGCAATGTTGTCTAGTGGCTAGAGCAGTGCACTGGGAGTCAAGACTCTCTTGTGTTCTTTCCCCAGTTTTCCTACCTATTAAAAATAATCTTGGGCAAAATTTTCAAATGCCCACTAATTTTGGGTGCCTCAAATTACAGCGCAAAAGGCGTAAGAGGATTTTATACATATAGCTAACCTGTTAATCTTTCTCTGACTGACATTTATGGGTGATGAGGTTTTATACTAAGTGTTGCCTAGTATTTTTACACACAAACTTGGTGTTTCTAAGGATTAGAAATGTTATTCTATAGACTGTCTATTCGCTGGAAGTTGGGTGGCTTGATCTACGGGCAGTGCTGGCTCCTCTGATAGAAGACTTCCATTCAAACTAAAATGACAGAGCAGTTAAATGCCCCTTTGTTTACTAATAGCTGAAACAACAGAAGACACTTCCCAAATCACAGATCAGCATGGCAAGGCTCGAGTAGGAGTTGAGCCATTTGGTCTGAGGGGTTTTCCTAGCACACCAACACAGGGGACTGAGTATTCACAGATTCCAAGGCCAGGAGGAACCATTGTGATTGCCTAGTCTGAGCTTCTGTAAGCCACAGGCCATAGAACTTCCCCAAAACAATTATATGAGCATTGCTGTTTGGTGGAGCTGTAAGTGCCTGAGAGTCAGAAGCAAAGAAACTGCCTCCTGTTGTGTGCTTCCTACTGTGTTCAGTGAAATAGGACTCTCTGTACATTCTTTATAAATGGATTACATCAAAGATGCCTGACTCAACCATCAGTTTTGCCTCTTAATGGAAACACTCCTCAAGGCCCCAAATACTAGCTAACTGCTCAGACTAAAAATGGTTAACGACAGTAAAGTTTACAATATTTTTGAATGACCCATAATAATGCTTAACTTTAATATAGTGATTTTCATCAGTAGATCTCGAAGAGTTTCAGTCTTTTACGGTATTTATCCTCAAACACCCCGGTGAGGTAAGGAAGTGGTGGTATCCTCATTTTTACAGATGGGGAACTGAGTAACAGAGAGACTACATGAGCAAGTAGTCCAAGAGCACACAGGAAGTCTGTGGTGAAGTAGGGAATTGAGCCTGGATCTACCAAGTCCTAGGCAAGCTAACCAAACGCTGGACTACCTTTCCTCTCTCGCTGAAAACTGCCTATACTTTTCTATTCAAAATGATCTTTAATTTTATCTGTTTTTTTTTCTTTGTGGTAGGAAAACAATATTCAGACAATAAGTTGTGAGAATCTAGACAATCTCTGCATTTTAATTCTGAATAAAAATCAACTTGCATCACTTCAAGGCTTAGATGGCTGCAGTGATCTCAGGAAACTTGAACTGTCCTGCAATAAAATCACTCGAATTGGTAAGAAAATATTAAAGATGATGCATTTTATTCATTTAACATCAGTATTGTGCATTTATTCATAATAATGGTTTGGTTGAGGATAGAAAATGACTGTTGCCAATGTAGTCGTGTTTATTTTTAATCTTGTAACAGGCTTATTTCAAAGAAGATATTACTCAGTACTCATGTCCTTTATTAGGATGGAAAAATCGGAAAATTACACTTAAAATCTTACACCCTTTGTGGGACGTGAATAGTTTAAAATCTCAAGCAAGGTGGGTGGACGATGAGAAACATGAGGGGAATTAATTTGTTTTAGATAATAAAGGAGGAAAAAATTATACAAGGAGAGAAATACTTGTCCTAGTTCCTCCCTCTGGGAGTAACCAGGAGACCCACTGGCCTAATGCTGGTACAGCAGGCCTCAGAATGTTTTCTCTGTAATGAAGGGGCAGTTAAATGCAACCCAGTGGAAAGAATTGCTGATTCTGCTGCATTAGAGTGGGGAGAATCGGTTTTTTGGTTGTCTACAGAAGAATGAACCCATTCAGCTGGCAAGAGAAAGCCTCAAGTTTTCCCCTCCAAAAGTAGCCTTAATAATTGAAGTGGGGAGAGAGGTAAACCGCCTTGTAATTACCTAAAATGATGATCCTAGTGCTGAAAGGAGCAACGTGCTTCTTCCTTCAAGAATGAAACACAGCAGGTAGATCTGCTGCTGAAAGGGTTGCAGATCCTGCTGTGGGGACTGGGTCATGTTGGAAGGTAGAGTTGTGAGGGCCACAAAGATGTAGGTAATCATTGGAATACTTAACTAATTCAAACACTGAGCCTTCTGGGGCTTGCCAGGAACTAATTCGAGTGAAAATCAAAACATAGGTTTTGAGGAAAGATTTCATTTGCTGAAGCAATTCATCTTTTGTTTGGAGGAAACTCATTTGAGCTGAGGAAGCCGATGCAAGCAGTGGGTGGGTAGGTGGCCAGCTCTTGAGCTGAGGCCGCTTCAGATGTGTGTATGGAAGGACTTGAGTTGAGCATCAGAAAGGTGGTGCTTTTGAGTGCTTTGTCTTGCTTTAGACTTGTCTTAACGTTTACTGATAAACAAAATGAGGTGTTAACAGAAATAAGGAATTAAATGAAAAACCAACATCATTGCAACTTCCACACTGACAAATTAAGCCCATACACATATGGTCATTTAAAAAAAATTAGAAGTTTTTACAGCGGCAAAAACAGAAGTTTAGACAAATATGCAGATATGAGAGGTGAGGGACAAACTCCATGATTAACAAAATAAACAAGAAAAAGGCAAATAGGAAATATTAAACTTGAGAAATTAGTGATTGCACAGCCACCCATGTGGTGTTAATAGCTTCAGTTTCAAAATGCTAATACTTTGGATATTGGATTGTTGATTTTACATATTAAAGTACATGACCATATTTCATGTTTCTGGGGACAGTGTCCTGCGGTGGTTGTAAATGGTGGTGGTGTTGGCACTTCCTATAAAAACCAATGCCAGTAGCCTCAGGGGAACTGAGGAAACAAACTGCAAGAAGCAATACTGGAACTTCCTCCATGTCTGGTTGCCAGTGATGCTGTGTGAGATTATTTGTTTGAGATGGATTTCCTGTGGCAGAATACCTGCAAGATTAATATGCAAGTGACATAATATTAATAGATGATCCTTAAGTATGAAGTATCTATGTACAGAGCAAATGAAGTAAAAGCCTTCTGTACTATCTATTATGTACAATGAAAGTACTGTATTTACTGAGTGTAAGATGTGTTTAAATGGAGAAGTGAATGTTCAACGAAAAACCACATGGTTTTCTCTCCTAAGGAACAGCTTTGAGGATGTCTGGATAAACTAAATGCATAACATAGATTTTTTTGTTTGTTTCACACAATAACATATTGATAGTTAGACATCTTATAGAATCACACAAAGATGGACTTGTGTTTTTAAGATGTTAATTTGCTCCTCCCATCTGTAAATCTAGTAGAATGTCCCATGGCAATTTTGGAAGTTGCACTGCTGTGTAGCATTCTTTTTTACATTCAGTTCGTTCAGTTTTAAATTATTCTAATCTATGGGGTGTTTTTTTTAAGGGCTTATTTATATTTATGGTTGTAACAATTCAGGTTAACTTGTTGCAGGAAGTTTCCTAGATACTATTACTTTTGTTTTCACCAGAGTATAAAAGTGGGGGGAAATGGCAGTTGGCAGAAGCTGTCAATAAAGTAAATGGGGTTGAGGGGAACGCTTTATTGCAAAGGAGCATGTCCTCTGAAAGCAGCATGCTCACTGCCTGTGTGATTATACTTTTGTACAATGAACGTAAGGAACTTTAGCATATGTATATACTTGGGAGGGGGCTGGTTCATTGAAATATTTCTTTTATTTATGAAAAATATTTTTTTAAAATCTTGTCAATTATGGCATTCATAGATTCCAAGGCCAGAAGGGACCACTGTGATCATCTAGTCTTGTGCCCTGTGTAACACAGGTCATAGAACTTCCCCAAAATAATTCCTAGAGCAGAGCTTTTAGAAAAACATTCAATCTTGATTTTAAAATTGCCAGTGATGGCAAATCTACTACGTCCCTTGGTAAATCGTTAATTACTCTCATTGTTAAAAACGTATGCCTTATATTCAGTCTGCATTTGACTAGCTTCAACTTCCAGGCATTGGATCATGTTATACCTTTCTCTGTGATTGGGGCACCCATTAACCCTCTCTTTGTTAAGCTGAATAGATTGAGCTCCATGAGGCTATTGCTATAAAGCTTGTTTTCTAATCTATTAATCATTCTTATGGCTCTTCTCTGAATCCTCTCCAATTTACCAACATCCTTCTTGAATTCTGGATACAGTATTCCAGCAGTGGTTGCACCAGTGCCAAATACAGACAAAATGTAACCTCTCTACTCCTATTTGAGACTCCTTGTTTATGCATCCACAGATTGCATGAACTCTCTTGGCCATAACACCACACTGCGAGCTCATGTTCAGGTGATTATCCAGCACAGCTCCCAAATCTTTGGTTAATAACTAGATCCAGCCCCTTTGAAAATGCATGTGTATGCTGCTGCTTCTTTTTTCCCCCTGTGAATTTTTCTGTGGGTTATAGGATGTGTATTCTACCTGGTATGCTACCAGTGCTAATGAGAACAAAGCACAGCCCTGGATCACCCTTTCAGGCAGTCTTGGTTTTACCATTTGTTAGAAGTTAAGAATCGCCTAATTGGAGCATCAGCTTACTCAGAACCCCTCTTCTCTCTTTCTTTCAGTCAGAAGTCTCCTCCTGTTCGTCATAGGACCTCACTTCTCTTGCCTCAGCCATTGTCTTCCTGTTTTAAAAAGAAAGTTACTTTATTGCTGCTGGTCACTGAGTCAGGACAATGTGCGCTGAATGGGGTGCTATGGGCAAGTGGGTGCTACATGCAGCTGCACTGTTTTCACTTTACCAAGAGCAGTTCTGCTTATAGAGGGGTTTTCACCTCAGCTTGTTTTATTGAGACATATGCATATAATCACAGAACACCTTTTTTCATGTACTGCCATAGCTGGTATCACATCATGTGTTATATGTTGGTGCCTTGTCAGTGCCCATGAGAAGTCAGACTCTCAACAAAATCATTACTATTTTGTAAGCATGACAAGATCTTTAGCATTGAACAAAACACAGAAGGTGTAAGATTGGCCATACTGGGTCAGACCAATGGCCCATCTAATCCAGTATCCCTGTCTCTGACAGTGGCCAATGCCAGGTGCTTCACAGGAAATGGACAGAACGGGCAATCATCGAGTGATCCATCCCCTGTCATCCACTCCCTTTGCACTCTGCACAGTGCAAAATATATAGTCACCTAACATTTGTGGTTAGTTTTAACCTTGCATATGTCTGCAATACAGCCAGTACATATTTGTATTACAGTAGCACCAAGAGGTCCCAAAGTAGATTGGAACCCCATTGTACTTAGCATTATACATACACAGTGAACGAAAATCCAAGTCCCAAAGAGCTAACAATGTAAATAGATGAGACGGACAAAATAGACCAGACAGAGACAGGGCTTTCAATCTAAATAAATGAGGAAACAGGTACATCAAGTGAAATGGCTTTCTAAGATTGCGTAGTAGGGTAGTGACAGAGCTGGAAATAGAACCCTGGTCTCTTAACTCACGCACACCTCCTATACAGTTCCCCTTTGCACATCCTATACTTGTCTGCCACTAATTTGAATCCAGTGCTGTCTTTTAAGGGTGTTGACCTTGCTACACAGAAATACAAAGCTTTAAAAATGGAAAAATAATGCTGAGACAAGTTCTTGCAGCTGTCAGCAGTTTTCAGTACTATGCTTGAAATGAAACTATGCTCAGTCCACTAGATGGTGCTAGTTCCCTTTTAATCCCCCCCCCCCCCCCCAATAAATAAATAAATAAAATAAAATCCAGAAAAGCAGCTTGCAGTCTGGTATAGTATGTCACAGGCGTATCTGAAATTCTTTTTCAGTAATTAAAGGCTAGTAAATTAATTTCTTAAAGCTCGGATGGGAGGAAATAAACTGCTTGTAACAGACCATTTGACTTAAATTTACTGTAGTATCAGTTTAATATCTGATATTCTTTTCCATTTCCAGTTATTATTATCCTAAGTCCTATGCTGTATAAATTCTTAATGTAATGTGAATATTGATGTTTAATTTTTACTTTTTTTTCCCCTTTATGTTTTTTCTTCTTTCTGCATACACCCTCTGTACCTGTGGTAACCCTTTCTTTGGCTGGGACAAACAGTACTTTGGAAGGCCTAGGTTGCTCCAAGGAGATTACCACAAAGACACCTCCATCCTTGCACACATTATCTCTACTCTGTGCATGGAAGGATGGGAAGGTTGGGGGTAGGTCTGAGAAGGACTGCCTCAACTACCTCCCAATTCTGTGAAGATTACCCAGAAAAAAGGTCTGGGAGGGTACTACATTTTTCTCACTTTCCCTCCCCCTGCCATAGGTTTTTTATACCCTATTCATCACTATCATTTTTGAGCTCCCTTCAAGGAAGCCACAGTGCTAGGAACAAGTGAGGAGTGAATGGGCCCAGAGCCGGTATAGAGGTACAAGGCCTACCCAACTTTCAGATCCCCTGAGTTCCATAAAGTTGTGGGAGGAACCTAGTCTTGTTGCACTATCATATAAACTGCCAACAGAATGATTTGGGGGCAACTCCAGGAGAGAACTCTCACTCTCCCAGGTATAACTGTGGGATGTGATAGCCTGATTCTTGCTCTGTATACCAGCTGTTAGGAATGCTCTTTAAAAATATGGTAGTTGTAGATATAGTTCAAGACATACATATGTTTACAGATACCTCACTTTCCTTAAAAGACTTTGTTTTAATGCTCTTGCTTGAACAATGCATGCCCTCATTCACTTCCCTGCTGATTAGCCTCTGTGTATTATAGTGGTATGATTAGTTCTTACCATTTCTGGTCACTTTTTAAAAACTTTAACTAAAATATTTCAAAGTGAGACCATTAAGCTTTTGCTCTTAGTAGAGATTTTAAGATGGTGGCTAGTATTTTGCTAATACCACAGGACCTTGACTAAATATGCTTTCTGCCTTGGGTATTTACTAATTTCTCTAGTCACAGCATTGTAAGAGAACTTTACTGCATGAAGCATGTCCTGTTACAACAATGTGCATGTGCACAGAGAATGCTAAGTTTATTTGGTTTCTTGTTTAGTTGATAGACTCAGACATTTGCTATTTTTGTATATTCTGAAGATGATTGTTTAAAATGCTTGAAACACATGGGGATGAATGTAAAATTAATCGGTGTTTAAAATACCTCAAAATCATTGTAAAGCCTTTTATAGAGAACTGAATGTGTTTGTTTTTTATGTATAAAATATGAACCTGTTACAATTTCAGTGTGCTTTATGTTTCAAAATCAACACAATTTTAATCACATTATGATTTAATTCAGGTTAAAATATGAGTTTTCCTTTTCAGGTGGTTTAGAGTCATTGAAAAATCTCCAGCAACTAATTGTGGACCACAATCAGTTAATTAGTACGAAAGGTCTTTGTGATGTGCCAACTCTCATGCACTTAGACTGCTCTTTTAATCATCTTACTCAACTTGAGGGCATTGAGAATTGTGGTCTGCTTCAGATTCTGAAGTTACAAGGAAATAATCTAAGTGAGGTAATATCCGTGAATCAAATAGGCTGGTTTTTCATACCATGCTTCTCTGATACCAGTAATACAGCCCATGATGCTGATCACATTTTCTTTTTTTTTTTTGAGGGGGAGATGTACAAATGGCCAGCTATGGGAGTTTGGTGTCTCAGTACCCTTTTTAACCTTTAAAAATCCCCCCCTCAGTAATTTAGTTTCCATTCTTTGCACTATAGTGGGTAGTTTTCAGTTTGTTGTATACTACTTTTTTTTTTAAGTTGGTCAAACTGCTATGATCATTAAAGGTAAAACGAGCCATGCGGTAGAGAGATTTCTTCCAGAATTCAGTATGGGATGATTTTCATAGGTGATGACTGCCTAAAACTTGAATTAAATCATTGTGGGCTTCAACTCTCATAATGAGGCCCTAGATGGCTACCTGTACATTTAGTCACCTTTCTTGGCAATGGCTTTTATATAAAGCTGAGGCAAAACCTACTTGTCAATAAATAGTCAGTCATTGCATGAATGAAAGCAGTAAATTTGTGTACATTGCTAATCTCAAATTCTGTGTTTTATATTGAATGTTCAGACTATGCACAAAGCATAGAAAAATGTTAGCATGTGATAATTGAAAAGGATATACATACTATGTAACAAAGCATATCTGTAATAGTATTTAATAATCTAATCAAGAAAAGCAGCTGATAAGCATTCAATTTTTATTTGAAAAATAATAGCAAAAAATCACTTTTGTGTATTTAGCTCCCTACGTTGGAAAATCATGTTCTGCTAAGAGAACTATACTTGGATGACAATAGTATTTCAACTATGGAAACATTTTCTTTTTATTGGCTGCCTCTGCTACAGATCCTTTCTCTATCACAAAACAGGTAAAGTGGAAAGTCTTTCTATTCAAGCAATTTAATACATAGATATTTACAAAATAACAGTTCTCTTATGAGTTTTAGGTATGAACCTGAGCGTATATAAAGGACAACTCTGCTGTACCAGACAAAGCAGAGTTCCTAGGATGATTCTGTCTGAAAAAGTATATTTAGCAATTAATAGGTGTAATCTTCTTTAGACAATTTTGAAAACAATGGTGAGTATAAAAGGTTAACTTAAAATATAATTATGGCAGTGCTGTAAATAGTTATTTGTAAAACAGTGTCTGTCTTACTTCCCATCAAAGGGCTGGTTTTGCTCCAAAAGTTGGACCTAATAGTGGCCTCCCACTCGATCTGGAATAAACAGTGCTAATTAAAAAGTTCATCAAGATATTAATTTTCATTTCCATGCACACATTGTATTCAGATGTCAAAGAAAAGGAATTTCAAGTTGCTTATCAGATTTTATTTTTCATTGTTACAGTTCAGTTTGATTTAAGGTGTAAAAAATAAAATAGGGTTTTTTTTTCTTATTATTTATAAGTCCTATAGTAAAATACAAAGCTATGGGAAGTCATAAATTAGTATGTGGCAATCTGTGCTTCTATGGGAATATAGTGACCACATGTTCTGAGTCAAAAGGTTGTTACCCTTTTTTATGTAGTTGATTTCAAAATTGAGTCTATCTCAGTGCATGAGCAAAGGCAAACAATAACAAACAGTTACAATTCTGGATATTTCTATTTCTCTGTATTACTTTTGTACAAACTCATAAGACTGTGTGTGCATGCCTATGTGGTTTTTTGTTTGTTTGTTTTTGAGATATAAGTAGCTACAGTTTTTGAATGGGAAGTATATTTTACTAGCTTACATCACCATTTCAGACATTTTATAAAGGATTTTTGTTAGTAGCTTGCCCTCTTGTCACAATGTAGGGTATAGGTCTGCAGGTATTTTGCATGCCCTACTGTAGGGCATATACAGAATCGATAGCCTTCCTGAAAACATAGGGCAGTGCTAAAGAATTTAGGGCATGTCACACTAAGCAGGGTTCTGTCATAGCTGGGGCATGGTGCTTTCTGTGTCCAAGGAGAGCCAATTGGCTATGATTGTGGGAAGATGTAAATAAAAAATGTGTTTTAGATTCACTTAGGGGGCATTCTGACTTTTCAAACTATGCTTTACAGGTCACCTATAATGTAGTAACGCGTATGAAATTGCAAGGCATGTAGGGTGGATATGCGAAAATCTAGACTTCTTTCTTGATCAAGCTTTCTGGAGACAGTGCTTCATGTCTGTGACTAACACGAGCACTGTTTGGTGGGCAGTGGATTTTGATTTACTCTTATTTTGGTAAATCAGATTAAAATATAAGTCTGTGTATGATTTCCCCAGACAGTATTCTCCCTCTGTTTACTTCATATCTTTCTTTTCTGTTTCCTATTCGGCTTCTATAAAACACCCATCAAAGTGGTATCTGAGGCCTGGATTTGCAAAGGTACCTAATCACCTAAACCCCAGATTTAGGTACCTAAATTTGTGTTAAGGTGATGTTAAGTCCCAGTTTTAGACTCCACTGTGATACAAAACATTCCTGCTGAAAGCTTTATATATCTAAACTCACTTGGCACCTAGTTTTCTGCCTCTGGGTATATGCACTGCTGCCTCACATTAGGTGTCCAGATTCGCAATTTGGGGAAGATAGGTATTCAGCTGCCTACCTTGTGTGGAGGGCCCAATCTGGTAAGAGTGCTCAGAGGTTGCCTACCAGATTGTGTCGCATTCAAAATATGGCCTCAGTACAAGATGATGGTGATGAACTTTTGAGCTGAAGTGGTTATGGTATTCAGCTGGGATGTGGGAGATCTGAGTTCATTTCCCCCCACCCCCTTCCAGAGAAGAAGAAAGGATTTGAACATGGGTTTGCCACCTCTCGGGAGAGTGCTCTAACTTTTTTGGCATCTCCTGTTGGGTACCTCTAGTCATTTCCCTGCCTAGCATGCTGGCTTTTGTGAATTGTATTCCAAGGTGCCTATCTCTCCCCATTCATTGTATAGGAGCCTAGATGTCTAACTCAGGCTTGGTGAATACAATACGTTCCTGTGATTTTTCTAGGTGCCTAAACATTAGGTTTTGCGATGCTCAGTATCTCAATGCCTAAATACCTTGTGGATCCAGCCTGAGTGCCTTTTCCTCTTCTCTATATTTTATGGAGTCCTTCTCTGTTTCCTGTCCCCTGCTTTTTCCCCCTCTCCCCCATCTCTTTTTTTCTGACTCATTCACGCATTCAGTTGCCATCTTTTTCTGTTAAAACCCTCATTACCTTTCATGTGTCTTCTCTCTGCTAGTCCTGCTGACATGCTGTGCTTTAGTGGTTGGCTGAAATGTGAAATGTTTCCCGTAGTGGAGAAAGAAGCGCTGTAATATGTCAGAGCATCAACAGAACAAATATATGAATGATAAGTCAGACATGAACAACTACCACATCATGTGTCAGTGCCTTAACTCAAATCTTTGGGGCAAAAGAGACAAGTTAGCATTAAATGCAGGATAGAAGCCTCAAAATTCCTAGTATTGCAGTAGCCTACTCTGTTACATTCACTTTATGTACATTATAAGCAGCTCCATATGCGTCGCTATGGCATAAATAACTGGATGTTCTATATAGGAGGAATTAATGTAATGGAGTAAGCTGTTGAAAGAAAAGCTGTTTCTTTGCTTTAATCCTTCAGCCAATGCAATCTTGTGAATCTTTTTAAGAGTGTGCACTGAGTGCCATTTCCTTTTTGCTGATTTCAGGAAGCCCCTGCAATGGTAAGACTGTGAATTTATATTCTCCTTAAAAATAAAGCACAGTGTTAAGGAAAATCAAAACAAAAAAAGAAAGTTCTTCACAAACTAATTTGTAAGGATTTGTTGATCTAGATATTATGTCCGTATCGATATCAAAAATTGCTCCCAAAAATCATTTTTCAAAGTTGAACCTCAAAGTGCAAAGAAAATGTTTTAAATCCACAACTTGTTAACAGGGAATTATTATAGAGCTAAACATTACATATTGTAAATGCATCTGAAGACAAAATAACTGAAAACAAGTATCTCTTTCACATACCTTCAGAAGTCCAAGTTTTTTGTGGTGTTGCAGTGCTACAGCTGAGATGGTCACAGAGCTTTGCGTTATGTAATACATACATACTCAGCAAAAAGAAAAGGAGTACTTGTGGCTCCTTAGAGACTAACAAATTTATCTGAGCATAAGCTTTCGTGACCTACAGCTCACTTCATCAGATGCGTCCGATGAAGTGAGCTGTAGCTTGCAAAAGCTTATGCTCAGATAAATTTGTTAGTCTCTAAGGTGCCACAAGTACTCCTTTTTTCTTTTTGCAGATACAGACTAACACGGCTGCTACTTTGAAACCTATACATGCTCAGTGTGGGTTTGATCCCTGCAGTCAACAGCATAGCTCCCACTAACTTTAATAGTGCAGAATGAGGGCTGTCAAGGTTCCTTCCCCACTCTGAACTCTAGGGTACAGATATGGGGACCTGCATGAAAACCTCCGAAGCTTACTTTTACCAGCTTAGGTTAAAACTTCCCCAAGGTACAAACTATTTTACCCTTTGTCCTTGGACTTCCACTGCCACCACCAAACGTTTATCTGGGTTTATTTATTAGGAAAGCGTTGTTTGGAAACGTCTTTCCCCCAAAAATCCTCCCAACCCTTGCACCCCACTTCCTGGGGAAGGTTTGGTAAAAATCCTCACCAATTTGCATAGGTGACCACAGACCCAAACCCTTGGATCTTAAGAACAATGAAAAAGCATTCAGTTTCTGAAAAGAAGGATTTTAATAGAAGTAAAAAGTAAAAAAAGAATCACCTCTGTAAAATCAGGATGGTAAATACCTTACAGGGTAATTAGATTCAAAACATAGGGAATCCCTCTAGGCAAAACCTTAAGTTACAAAAAGACACACAGACAGGAATATCCATTCTATTCAGCACAGCTTAATTTCTCAGCCATTTAAAGAAATCATAATCTAACGCATATCTAGCTAGATTACTTACTAAATTCTAAGACTCCATTCCTGTTCTGTCTCCGGCAAAAGCATCCCACAGACAGACACAGACCCTTTGTTTTTCTCCCTCCTCCCAGCTTTTGAAAGTATCTTGTCTCCTCATTGGTCATTGTGGTCAGGTGCCAGCGAGGTTATCCTAGCTTTTTAACGCTTTACAGGTAAAAGGGTTTTTCCTGTGGCCAGGAGGGATTTTAAAGGTGTTTACCCTTCACTTTATATTTATGACAAGGACCTATATGAATGTACTAGTCAAAAGCTATGTTTAGGGTTGCCAACTTTGTAATATTTAATAACACTCCAGCAGGAGTGCCAGAACCTCTTCTTCCCTGCCCCTTCTCCCTGAGGACCAGCCCCTGCCCTGCCCCTGAGGCCCCGTGCCCATTTGCTCCTCTTTTCCCCCCGTCCCCCTTGTTGCTTGCTGCTCTTCACCTCCCCCACCTCTATTGGGATGGACTTGCCTGCGGAGCCGGGGCTGGGAACTGCAACTGCCTGACGCAGGTAGGACCCAGCTAAGTAGGGACTGGCACAGGTGATGACTTGGCACCTCCCTCACTCACAATAACAGGACTTCAGGTGTCCAATCAGTAATCTGAATGGACACTGTCAGGTGCCCTTTTCAACCGGACTTTCTGGTCGAAAACTGGGCAGCTGGCCTCCCTAGCTATGTTCCCTGTGTGATAGCTGAACATCACAAACACCCAATTAGAGAGAGGCATTCAAGGGAACAAGTGTTCCTTGCTTTGCTTTAGACTTTTATGATTACATTAGATGTTTCAGAACAAACAGAACCCTGAAGTCAGGATGTGGCCAGTAGGTGGAAAAATTCATTTTCAGAAAGGTTTTCATTAAAAGTCTTTAATATTTATATCCATACATGTACTCTGTTAATGACTTAGGATCATAACAGTTTCTTTTTAATTGACAA